TTTTTTTTTTTTTTTTTTTTTTTTTTTTGGTATTAAGGTTTTTGAGTGCTTTATATATTCTAGATGTAGTGCTCTATCTGATGTGCTTGTGGTAAAAATTTGCTCCCATTCTATAGGTTCTCTATTCACCTCACTGATTGTTTCTTTTGCTGAAAAAGAAGATTTTTAGTTTGAATCCATCCCATTTATTGATTCTTGGTTTTAATTCTTGTGCTATAGGAGTCTTATTAAAGAAGTTGGGGCCTAATCCAACATGATAGAGATTTGGGCCTACTTTTTCTTCCATTAGGCACAAAGTCTCTGGTTTAATTCCTAGGTCCTTGATCCACTTTGAGTTGAGTTTTGTGAATGGTGAGAAATAAAGGTTTAATTTCATTTTGTTTTGTGCTTTTTAGAGATAGCAAGAGTTCTTTTTCTGGCTCAGGCTCTTCCCCACCTCCCTGTATAAGGACAAGTGATGGGAGTTATTTATATAAGTATATGTGTATAGATAGATGTATGTATTTCTCACCCAGCAAGTTAAAAGCTAAAAGAGTGCCTTACAACAGAGTATCTGGTAAATTAAATTAAATTATTAGCCCCTCTCTATTTATATTGTTGAATCTTATCCATATTAAGACCTATGCTAGTGTTATCATATTTCAGTGCATAATCATTGCAGATTTTATGCCAAATTTTTGTGCAAAAAGAAGAGTATGACCATTATGTGAAGCTTTTTTTTTTTTAATGTACCAGTATGACTTAAAAAATCATTTATTACTAAACTGTCTTTGGGGCAAGATTAGGATGCAGTAGAATTAATGCAATGGTGATGATTATGCTATGCTATAAATTATGTTAATAATAAAGTATTAATGACCTATATAGAACCATTCTGACATTGGTCAATTATTTAATTCTTTCTGAGCTTTAGTTTTCTCATTAAAATAAAGATAGTTATACTTAAGGTAGCATGTGTTATAAGAGTTGACCTTTCAACATTTTTATTATAGGAACTTAGTACTTAGTTCATGTTAATGTGATGATATGGATGATAATACTTGCAATTCAGGCTGGATTAGGATATATAAAGCATCCTTATTTGGGATAGGGGTCATTTGCTGGGCTGAGGGGAGTGTAGGAGGCATCTCATGCAGGTTAATCCTAAATCAATGATAATACTGAAATTTAAAATAGCCAGATTAAGGTATATACCTGAAAGATAATTTCTCTCAGCCTCCATAGATAGCAAACAACTTTTTTTATTCTAATTTGTTATATATGACAGCAGAATACATTATAAATCATATTATACATTTAGAGCACAATTTTTTATATCTCTGGTTGTATATAAAGTATATTCACACCATTCATTCTCTTCATACATATATATACTTAGGGTAATGATGTCCATCTCATTCCACAATCTTTCCTACCTGCATGCCCCCTCCTTACCCTTCCAACCCCTCTGCCCTATCTAGAGTTTATCTAATCCTCCCATGCTCCACTCCCCCTCCCAACCCCACTATGAATCAGCCTCCTTATTTCAGAGAAAACATTTGGCATTTGGATTTTGGGGATTGGCTTACTTCACTTAGCATTATATTCTCCAATTCCATCCATTTGCCTGCAAATGCCATGATTTTATTCTCTTTTATTGATAGCAGACATCTTATAGCCTTTCAGTATTACTTCCTAAAAGATTGGCAAAGTTTTTAATTTGGCTCAACTACTACAATTTTTCATTTATTCTAGGATCATCACCAGTGTCATCACCAAGGAAGCCTTCTCACCCAGTCATGGATTTTTTCGGTTCACATCTTTTAGGTGACTCTTCCTCATCAAGGTCTAATTCTGCTCTTACAGATGCCCATGAAATATTTGTGGGTGATAGTCTTGTTTTTGATGAAAACCTTCAGAGGATGGAAAATACGCTTGATCTTTGGAGTTCAAATCTTAAGGTATCGGTAGTTGTTCAATTACAATATATAGTACAGTAGTTTTACTCTTTTTTTTTTTTTTTTGTAGTTAGATATAATACCTCTATTTTTATTTATTTATTTTTATGTGGGGCTGAGGATCGAACCCAGGGCCTTGTGCTAGGCAAGCGCTCTACAGCTGTGCCATAGCCCTAGCCCCTGTAGTTTTACTCTTGATTATTTATTGTCTTTTAAAAGTTTATCTTAAAAAATAAAATTCTCTGGTTTCCTGAGAAGATGAGTACAGTATCTTAGATTTATGCTTCTTGGTTTTTAATGTACATTTGAACCACCTGGGGATCCTGCTAAACTGTAGCTTCATATCAGTGGTCTTGGGCAGAGTCCCAAGATTATATATTTCTATTAAGCTCCCAGCTGATGCTACTAGGTTAGAAATCATAACTTTGGCAGTTTTAAAAAGTTGTAGTACTGTTCTTATGTTCCATAGACTTTCTCAGATGTTTTGAAAGGCTTAGCTTTGGTGTGACTGACACCTGTTGAGCTTTTGTCATATCCTAGTTCTGACTGACGGAGGCCAGCATCTGTCATTCCCAGCTATCAGGGAAGCTGAGGCAGGAGGATCACTTGAGCCCAAAAATTCATGACCAGCCTGGGCAGCATAGTCAGACCCTATCTCAAAAACAACAACAAACTAAGCACAATGGCACACACCTATAATTTCAGTCACCTAGGAGTCTAGAGCAACATGATCACAAGTTCAAGGCCAGCCTGGGCAATTTAACAAGACCCTGCCTCAAATAAAATAAAATAGGCTGGGGATACAGCTCAGTGATAGAGCCCATCTAGGTTCAATCCCTAATACCACAAAAAATAAGTAAATAATAAACAAAAAAATAAATAAGACAAATCTTAAAGATGGCTAATAGAAATATTTCCTTTTACATAAAACTAAAGCTTCAACTCCCATAGTTTCCACTACCACCTCTATCTAAATAACTTCCCTGTCATTAGACTCAGCCTAGCCGATAGTCCTAAATTTATTTTTTAGCAACATATATTTCATTTTAGCCACTCTTATAACAACTATTATACATAATGCAAATCTATAAAAAAAATTTTTTCAAGTATGGCAAAAATGGCAAAGTTTTTTTGAAACATAGTTTAGGAAAATTAAGTTGAATATTTATATACATGGAAAATATTATGGTCATGTGAGTTCTGTAGCATTCATATTTCTCTATATTTGGATTATATATTCTAGAAATAGATTATTCTAGAAATAATCTTTTAGCATAGCTTCTACCATTTTTATCCCCTTGAAACAGGTTTCATATTTCTTTTTATTTTTTTAGTTGTAGGTGGACACATTACCTTTATTTTATTCATATATTTTTATGTGGTGCTAAGAATCAAACCCAGTGTATCACATATGCTAGGCAAGTGCTTTACCACTGAGCCACAACCCCAGCCCAGGTTTCATATTTCTAATAATAGTGTTAAGTCCATTGGAATAATATATAATCAACATTCAAATTGTTTTGTGTTCAGTTAACCTTTTTTGTTATCCAGGTTATATTTTTTAATGATTATTTGGTCTTTTATTTATGCCAGTCAGTAGGGAGAAAAAACTTAGCAATTTGTCATAAGGTGACCATTGTGATAAATGGTTTGGGGAAGAAAGCTTCAACTCCCATAGTTTCCACTACCACCTCTATCTAACTAACTTCCCAGTCATTAGGCTCAGCCTAGCTGATAGTCCTAAATTTCTTTTTTATCTGATCCATTTTAATATGGACGTTTAAAGTCCTTGAATAAACAAAGAAGTTTAGTGAATGAGGCCTGAAAAAAATTTTAAATGACAAGACTTCATACAAGATAACTTAAAATAGGAAAAAAAAATTCCTTGATGTGGTAAATGTAAACTGCAAAGAGCCAGGACTGTTGAACTTGTATCATTAGCATGTTGTGATTTTTTTTTTTTTTTTTTTTTTTTTTTTTGACTCCTATATTGACTGCTTGTTCTGACTTTTTTTTTTTTATGTTTCCTAACTTTAGTTTTAAGAAATGGTATTAAGGAACATACTACTAATTGTCAGTATATTTGTTTTTCAGACAAACGTTTTATCTGAACTAAGTAAATGGAAACTTAATTTTATTGACTGGCACCGAATGGAAATGAAAAAAGAGAAAGAAAAACATGCAGCACATGTAAAACAACTAAGCAACCAGATCAATGACTTGAAAGAGCTGCAGAAAACCTTTGAAATTTCCATTGGGAGAAAAGATGAGGTCTAAATTTTTTTCTATCTCTTTGTAATTGAGATTCAGTAAATGCCTTATTAGGTAATAAATTCCAGGAAGTAATGATTATTTAGCTCATAAAAGACCACAAAGAGAAAATCATTTCAGAAACTAATAGAAAAATAAGTACATAACCATAGGATTTAGTCTTCATATTAAATATACCAATGTAATGTCATTTGACCTTTGCCTTCGACTTTGGTGTTCTTGATGTTTTAAGTGTCTGCTAAATGTAGGTACATTCGTTAATTTTTGTGGGATTTTTTTTCTAATTTTTTTTCTTAAAAGCCCTTAAGAGAATATTAAGGAATCAGTATTACCCACTTTTTATATCATTTTTTAAAATTTGGGCATTTTATTTATCCCAAATTTTGTTTGTGACATGTCTTTCTTCCTTGATAAAGATAATTCTTGACAAAAAAATACCTTTTGTTTCACTTTCTTTTAGCTTCCTAAGAACTTGAGGGTCATGTTCAGGTCTGTGGTAGTTTTTTGCATCCAGACAGCACCTTGAACAAAGTGTATATGCCCCCAAAGACCCCATATCATTTTTGGATAAGATGGTGGCTTTTAGAGAAGGACTCAGGGCAGACAACTTGCTGCTTATCTGCACAAGCAGCATTCAGATGTTTCAGTGAGCTAGATAAAGTTTATGTTTTGGTAAATACGCATTTCTTTAGAGGGTATAATGTAAATTTTGAACATTTTTTATGTTTTTTGAAACAATGGATATTAATGTGAGTCTTTTTCTTTATTGCCTTCAAAACCCTGTTCTAAGGTTTTTAAATATTTTAAATTTAATTTTTTTAATTTTGAAGTACCACAAAAAAAGAGTTACATATCATGTGTTTAGTTAATGAAAATGAATAAAGTAAACAGCCATGCATCACCATCCATCTTGAAATAGAATGTAATGAATGTCTTAGACTGTGTGCCTCTTCCTCTTTTAGGAATACATGTCCCCAGTTTACTAAGTATCTTTTTAATGTGGCAATTTTTAGATACATATTTCATTTACTAAATTATTTATAAGAGAAAATATTACCTTAGGATTTAAAAACCTTCATAGGTTGTGTGTGTGTGTGTGCTTTTTTAAAATATTTATGTATTCTAATTTGTTACACATGACAGCAAGATGCATTTCAATTCAATACACATGATCACAATTTTTCGTGTCTCTGGTTGTACACAAAGTAGAGTCACACCATTCGTGTCTTCATATATGTACGTAGAGCAATGATGTCCATCTCATTCCACCATCTTTCCTACCCCCATGTCCCTTTCCTTTCCCTCCCTCCCTTTTACCCTATCTAAAGTTCCTCCATTCCTTTCATGCTCCCCTGGCCCATCCCCATTATGGATCAGCATCCATATATCAGAGAAAACATTCAGCATTTGGTTTTTTGGGATTGGCTTACTTCACTTAGCATGATATTCTCCAACTCCATCCATTTACCTGCAGATGCCATGATTTTAATGCTGTGTAATATTCAATTGTGTATATATACCACAGTTTCTTTATTCATCTACTGAAGGGCATCTGGGTTGGTTCCACAATTTAGCTATTGTGAATTATGCTGCTATAAACATTGATATGGCTATGTCCCTGTAGTATGCTGTTTTTAAGTCCTTTGGGTATAAACCAAGGAGTGGGATAGCTGGGTCAAGTTTTCCAAGGAATCTCCATACTACTTTCCAGATTGATTGCACCAATTTAAAGTGCCACCAGCAATGTGTGAGTGTGCCTTTTTCCTCACATCCTTGCCAACACTTATTATTGTTCATATTCTTGGTAGCTGCCATTCTGACTGGAGTGAGGTGAAATCTTGGAGTAGTTTTGATTTGCATTTCTCTAATTGCTAGAGATGTTGAACATTTTTTCATATATTTGTTGATTGATTGTATATCTCTTCTGAGAAGTGTCTGTTCAGTTTTTTGGCCCATTTATTAATTGGGTTATTTGTTAAAAACCTTCATAAATTTTTTCAAAGGACAAGATAATATCCTTGAAGAAGTACATAAAAATGACTATTATTTGCTTTTAGAAAACTGTTGAAACCATAAAATTATTAAAGTTATTGATAAATTTCTATATCCAAGGTACCAGAAAGATATTTAAAACCTGGCCCTGCTCACAGGTCTACAGAATAAAAACTTTTTTGAATATGTAGCAAAACTTTCAAGTGTACGTTTGTTTTTCCTGAATTAAATGTTAATAACTATTAATTTTAATATTCATAAACTTTTATTGGTAGTTAACAAGATATACAGACAATGAAGATTTCTTTCCTCTCATTCTTCTGCATTCATTAATCTTTAGAGTATTAATGTGGAGAATTTTTTGGTCTTTCTAATAATGAGACTAAATTAATATGGCAGAGATCGATAGCTATTCTCTAGCATTTTTTTTTTTAGAGAGAGAGAGAGAATTTTTTAATATTTATTTTTTAGTTTTCGGCGGACACAACATCTTTGTTTGTATGTGGTGCTGAGGATCGAACCCGGGCCGCACGCATGCCAGGCGAGCACGCTACCGCTTGAGCCACATCCCCAGCCCTCTCTAGCATTTTTGATATATAAGTCAATTTCTCTGTTTCTGTTATTGTAAGATCACAATAATTAAGTAATTGCTATTTACAGGTGATTTCCAGCTTGTCTCATGCCATAGGCAAGCAAAAGGAAAGAATAGAGTTAATGAGAACATTCTTCCACTGGCGAATTGGCCACGTCAGCTCCAGACAGGATGTAAGTATAAAAAAGACAAGACCACTGACTGATATTAGACTTCTGAAAGGGTTTAGTCCCCTTATTAGAATTCTAGGTCAAAAATTTACTTTCTAGTAAGTAAAAATGAATTTATGACTTAAAAATGATTGCTCTTATTTCAAAGGAATTTGATTTTGATGTAGTTTGGCAAAAATAGTAAGAATTTATTAACATAAGATATATATTATGATAGATACATCGTGTGCTGCTCCATAGCAGTTTAATGAGGATTGTACCTAAATTACAAATGCCCTGATAGATTTTACCTCAGATGAGGTTATATAGAAAAAGAATTTGCAATCATAAAATATTGTTTGATTCCTATGTTGTTTATACTTCTAAAATACCTGTCTGGGTTCAATGCCCATGCCTGTGGTCCCAGCTACTCAGTAGGGTAAGGCTGGAGGATTGATTTGAGATCAGGCCAGCCTGGACAACACAGCAAGACCCCATCTCAAATAAAGTAAAATACCTGAATACAGCCCTTTTTTTTTAAATACTTATTTTTAAATTGTAGTTGGACACAATACCTTTATTTTTATTTATTTTTATGATGCTGAGGATCAAACCTAGAGCTTGCATGTGCTAGGCAGGCGCTCTACTGCTGAACCACAACCCCAGCCCCTGAATACAGCCTCTTCATAAAAAACCATTACTACATTTGTAATATAGTTGTGGATTAAAAAATAGTACCAATGTTTATTGTGTAGACTTGCCTTAGTATAAGAATCAAAGCCATGCTGTTTATCTTTTTTTAGTTTCTATATAATTTAAACCTGAACATTTTTTATTTTAATTAAATAAGAACTAAATTAGATATCAAAATAGTGAACTGAGAGAATAATAAATTATTGTATCAAAAGTGAGTAGAAAAGTATGAGAGAGAGAGAGAATGTATGTGTGTATCATACAAGAAAACAGTATGAAAACCCGTGAGTATAGGAGATGGAAATGTGTGTGTGTGTATATACACATATATACATACATATACATACATACACATATGCATACATACATATTCTTTTTCTTGTGATCTTTGAAGTAGTCTCTCTGCATTTAGTTTCCAAGAGATTAGTATTTAAGGAAAAAGCTATTGTTGTGGAATAGAATTTCTCCTATAAGAATACTCTAGTGTTTTCATTGTTTTATAAATCCAAATGAATTAAATCCACGTTAATCATATTGAAACAAGCTATTTAAAATGACTATACCATATTTTGAAAGTTATTTGTCAAGAGACACATAATAAGAATTAATACTTAAATGTTGGCTGGAATAGTTAAGGTTCCATCATTCTTTAGATAGTTTTTCAAATTTAAGAAAGTTGTACATTAGAATTACTTCTTCAAAAGAATTCATTGATTGTCCTAAAGTTGAAACCAGAAAGGAGACAATGACACTATGCCTTTTCTTTGACATGAGAAAACGATGGGCATTAACATAGATTGCCATTTGACAATCCAAAGTACTGAACAGCCCTACAAGATTCCTTCTTGGGGGCTGGGGTTGTGGCTTAGTGGTAGAGTACTTGCCTAGCATGTGTGAGGCACTGGGTTTGATCCCCAGCACCACATAAAAATAAACAAACAAAATAAAGGTAAAGTAAAAAAATCCTACATTAAAAAAATAAATAAAAAGATTCCTTCTTAATTCCATGCTTTCAAAAAAGAACACATAGAATGCGCACATGAGATTGGTAATATCTGGTCACAAAAAGAGTATAAGATAGAATATGATAATTTCATAAAATTTTGCTTCAGCAAAAATCTAATGTAACATGTGAGAGCCATCAAGCAGCTAGACAAGCTCAAAAAGGAAGGGAAGTACACCCCTCCACCTTACCACATGGACAAGGGAGATCCTAGGCCCTGAACAGAGCAGCTCCTGATGGCTGAAGGCTGATTTTCATGTTCTCTCTTTGCCACTGAAAGATGATTGAAAACTTCAAGGTGTATAAAATAAAGGATTGTTCCATCCTTAAAAAAAAAAAAAGAATCCATTGATAAAGATTATGTTCCTATTTGGATCTGTTTGGCACTATATATAATGGCAAGATGTCTAAGTTAAATTAATCTTGTTTCTGATGGTGGCCACCAAGCCCAAGGGGAGGAAAGCAGTGTTAGTATCATCTGAAGCTACAGCCACCACCCTTTTTGCCTTCCAGCCACTCTTTGTTACTTACCTGGCCTTGCTTTCAATTAAAAGGCTAATGCAGATTTGTAGCTAAGATGGCAAGTTTCTCATTTCATTTCTTTTGTTTTGTTTTTAAATTTTTTCCACTAGCTTTATAAGCAGTATCAAGCCATGATATAATGGATAGAAGCTCACTCAAATCTGACTAGAGAGGTTACTTAACCTGTCTAAGCCTATTCTCCTAAATGCATCAAGAATAATATGATTATACAAAATTAAATGATAACGTATGTACATTATTAATGTAATATCCTTAACACATTACCACTATGTTACGTTTATTGTTATTACTACAATATAGTTACCATCCCTTATGTTTTTTTGAGGTTGTACATTACTTTCTTTCAGGTTTATGAATGCAAACTAGCTGACCAGTACTTCCAGAGAACTTTACTGAAGAAAACCTGGAAGGGCTGGCGTTCCATAGTACAAAGACAATGGAAAGAGGTGGTAGAACGAGCTTGTCAAGCAAGAGCTGAAGAAGTTTGTGTTCAGATTTCTAATGATTATGAAGCCAAAGTTTCTATGGTAAACTCTTTTAATTTACTTTCTTTTAATGTAGTAAATGAATAGATTCACTATTAATTTAGAGTTAGGCTTCTTTTCTAGTCTTTATGTAGTCAGGAATAAAAATTTAAAATGTCTATTCTATATTAATTTAAATTATGTTCTTATAAGCAGATGTAAATAAATCAGAAATTATTTTTCTTTGACTTTTAATAATAAATTAGCAGTGTTTCCATGGGAAAATATTTGGGACCCAAAATGAAATAAAAACCATTCTGAAGAATACAGAGGTTTCTTGAAAACAAATGCCTAAGAGAAAAAAATTAACATTATGGCATTAAATTCTTAGTATTATATAAAATAAATTTTCAAAATACAAATAATTTTCCCCAATTCAAAAATAACATTCAAAAAATGCAGTTTAGGTTTGGTCTATAGGAAAATGTGTTGTTCACTTGGCACTTAAACTTTTGTAGATAATTGCCAGACATAGAGCAGCACACCTTTAATTCCACTGACGTGAGGATGAGGCAGGAGTATTGCAAGTTCATGGTCAGCCTCAGCAACTTAGTGAGATCCTATCTCAAAATAAAATAATTTTTAAAAATGGGAATGTAGCTCAGTATTGAAGCATTCCTGGGTTCAATTGCCCATATCAGAAAGTAAAAAAAAAAAAAAAAACGTGGAACTGGCTTTCTGGGTATTCAAAAACCAAGACTTGGACACTAAAATCAAGGAGAATAAAATGTTTAAGAAAAATAGCCAGTATTTTGGTCCCTGCCCTCCAAGGTCATCCAGGAACAATGGGACCCACCTAAGGGCCCTGCAATTCACCCAACCTCCTGATCAGGGGGATCACAAGGACTCTAGAAAACAGGAAGACAACCAGTGTACATTCTGCAAAGAGAAGGGTCATTGGAGAGGAAAATGTCCCCTTAATGCTTCCAAGGCAAGCCACTTGTGGTCAGCAAGACTCACCCATCCTGGCACAACTGATAGAGGAAAAGACTGAAGAAGCTAGAGGTGCCTCTAAAGTTCCTAAAATTAACTCCTGAAGAGTCTTGGCTGATCTTAACAACAGGAAATAAATAATTTTTGGTCAACACAGGAATCACCTACTTGGTCTGGAAATATAACCAAAGATAAGTGTACAAATATGAGGATGGGAGAAAAGTCAAAGGACATTCAAGTGTGGACAATTAAAAGGGCAAAACAGTGGCCCTTTAAAATGTAACTTAAGGGCTGGGGATATAGGTCAGTTGGTAGAATGCTTGTCTCGCATGCAGAAGGCCCTGGGTTCAATCCCCAACACCATAAAAAAAATAAATTAAAAAATAAATAAAATAAAATATAACTTGAGATGTGCACTTGTGTCAGCCACACCAACAGTTAGTAAAGCCTAGAAGTTATGCAGAAGGGGTTCTTAAACATAATTACCTGACACTAAAATCCTTGCACCTAGCATCTGTATACAGAAGGTAGAACTCATAGCTCAAACAAGGACCCTCAATTCCTATTTTTTTTCCTGATCTTAATTATAATATTTTTTAGTAGTCCATTCTCACAAAACTATTTAAAAGGAAGGAGAACCCTTACACAGTTATTTAATTGAGTATCTTCAGACTTTGACTCTTTTTTGTATTCTGCTTTATAATTTATAATAGTATTTATACTTTTCGGCTTAAGCATCTGACTCTTTGCTTATATGCTTTAGTCATTGTTTAAGACTGGTTATCAGAAAACCAAGAAACCTGCAAAGTCAGATTGGCAGACACCCTAGATCCCTCAAGATTGAAGAATAGACTGAAGACAGGAAGGAACTGTAACAAAGACTTAAGACTTTTTGTTTTTGCCCATAAATGTCCAATGGGTATTTAAAAACAGGATTAAAGACTTGGTATCTGTGCTTCCATTTTGCATCTGTCTCCTTTGGTCTGAGTCACCTTGGATCCCAGGAAAAAAGTCTAATCTGATAAACATCTTGTAATGAGTGACTACCCACCCCCACCCCCACCGCCCCAGGCAACTGCAATTTTCTTACTGGGGACAAGACCCTGCCTGACCAATCCTGAGGTGAGAACAGACAGACCACACCTGATCAAGATCACCTGCTTTGGCAGCTGTGAAAAGCCTCCAGTGTGCAAACTTTCCAACCCTTGATCTCTTTCTATAAAACCTCAAGGTCATTGTTAGCTTCTCAAAGCCAGGGCTAAGGACATGTGTCCCCTTGTCTTCCTAGTGTAGCTACAATGATAATGTTCCTTTCATGCTTTTCAAAAGAAATTTTTTTAATAAATTCTATCGATGACATTTACTTTTTAAAATTTCTGTTAAATTGCATCAATTTAGCAGTTTTTCCCCAAAGGGATTAAGAACTATCCATGGCTCATGTAAGTGTATTTTGTTTAATATCCTGCATAAAATCTTTTTTATGGTAAGGAATAACATATTTGCATAATGAAAACACCAGCAAACTTCATGGGGCTGATAAAAAACCCTTCTTATTTGAACCTGACTTGATGGTTAGGAACAAAAATGATTTGTCAGTGGATACACCTTTGCAAATAAGTTGAATCACAGAACAAGTATGTGGCAAACTGTTTTTAGTATTTCATATAAGAGTAATCTCACGCTCTATATATGTAATAAGAATTATAATACATTCTGCTGTCACAAAAATATTGCAAGTAATTTAGATCAAAGTTAACACAGTAATATTCATCCTGTGTCTCAAATGTTTTTCTTTTAATTCTTATTTTAGTTATCTGGAGCTTTGGAAAATGCAAAAACTGAGATTCAAAGAATGCAACAAGAAAAAGAACACTTTGAAGATTCCATGAAGAAAGCTTTCATGAGGGGGGTGTGTGCATTAAATCTCGAAGCCATGACTATGTTTCAAAACAAAAATGATTCAGGTTGGTCTCTCATTGAAGATTTTCTGCCTATTTTCAAAAAATAATTTGAGGCTGTTCCAGTGATTGGGGTGGTTTGTCATGCTAATATTCTGCAATGGATGTGTCATCTAGGTACTGATTACTTTTAGTTTCATGGTGTCATATCCAGCTTTAAGTCCATCATGAAAACTAGACATAATTACTTATGATATTTTAATATGTATTGAGGTTCTTTTAATGCTGCCAAGTAGGAAATTTCTATTTTTGTTTTTTTCTAATTATCCTTGGATAATTTTGTTAAGTAAATATTTCTTACCTACTCCTGGCTACGAAACACCTAAAAAGAGATACGCAGCATCACTTTCTGTCAAAAACATGTTAAAACTTTGTGTGAGCAGAGAGGGGTGGGTTGTTACTAGGAATTGAACCCAGGGGCACTTGACCACTGAGCCACATCCCCAGCCCTATTTTGTATTTTATTTAGAGACAGGGTCTCACCGAGTTGCTTAGCTGCTTTGAACTCATGATCCTCCTTTTAGCCTCCTGAGCCACTGGGATTACAGGTGTGTGCCAATGCACCCAGCATGTGTGTGTGGTTTTAAAGCAGTGATCTTTTATATTGAATTAATCCCTTTCATCAGAAGATTTCAAAGGATCTAGGCACTATAATCAATGTTTTGTTAACAAAGTAACTTTTTTTTTTTTTTGTACTAGGGATTGAACCCAGGGGTGCTTTACCACTGAACTACATCCCTAGCCCTTTTTATTTTTTATTTTGAGACAGTTCTCCCTAAATTATTGAGGCAGGCCTTGAATTTGTGATCCTCCTGCCTTAGCCTTGCAAGTCTTTGGGATTACAGGTGTGCATCATGTTTTTGGCCACTGTTATTCACTTATACACAGCTAGTTTTAAGAAAAAGATTTATGCAGAAACCCAAATTTCTAAATGGAAAGAAGATAACAGAAGATCATTTAAACATAGGGTATACATAATATCCTATGTCCTGTCTCGTGAATTATCTTTGAGCTAATTACAGAGATGTAATCTTTTAAGTGGAAACTAACCACTTTCCAATACTAAGGGGGCAGGGGATGTAAAATATGAAAAATTTTAGGTTTGTCCTAGTTTTTTGAAACTGAAATCATTTACTTCTTGAATTATGGTTAAGATTCAGCTATGGGGAAAATTTAGTCTATGGAGTAGTATTCCTACAGTAAAGTTTGCAGATTTGTTCTTTCATGATATGCAGAATTGTTACTTATATAGCCCACCTGTAAGAACCCATTTCTTTTTTGACACCCCCCCCCCCCCCAGTGCTGGGGATTAAACTCAGGACCTTACACATTCTAGGCAAGTGTTCTACCACTGAGTTTTACCCCCAGCCCAAGAACCCATTTCTTGCCAGGCATGGTGTTGTATGCCTGTGGTCTCAGCTACTTGAGAGGCTGAAACAGGAGGATCACTTGAGCCTAAGAGAGCAGGACCAGCCTGGGCAATGAAGTGACACTCCAGATCAAAAAAATAAAAAATTGTTTTAAAGAACCTATTTCTTTCAAAATTCTTTCTTTTAATTCTTATTTATCTGAAGTTATCGGGAGGTTTCAAAATGAAGGTTTTAGTTTTACTTATTGTTTTATTATAGTTTGCTAAAAGTCAGGAATAAGGATATGTTGTTTTTGTTAATAGAATAGGAGCAATAAATGGAAATAAGGAAATAGGGTGATATCAGAAAATAGTTCTAAAAATCTAAATATGTGGCCATTTATCAGGATAGTTATATGAAATGCAAAGAACATAAAGCCTTGGGCCCTGTATGACCATATATATTACTGTGGTAGTTGTGATGGTAAGACAACCGAGCACATGATTTATTTTTATCTTTTACCTAAAGCAAATCATTAGCTTTCATATGTTGAAGGAAGAAGTCTCATGTTTAGTGGTTAATGCTGACATTACCAGTTAGTACTGACAGACCGTGTTAACTGAACAGTTGACTCCAGTAAATAACAAATGTCTGCATTTTCATTAGAACCAATTTTAACCATTATATATTTTCATTGTTTAGGGGAGAAGAATAATCTTAACTTAAAAGAATTTTAATGAGATAAATTTGTGATTTATAGGGATAGATTTCACAAATAATAAAAAAGAAGAATACAACCCTGGTGTTCAAGGAAAAGAATATCCTACTCATTTGGATCCTTCAGTACCTCCAGTGCCCTCAGCAGTTCCACTGCATGTGCTGCAGCCCTCGCCTACAGTGCCAGTTGCAACAGCCAGCGCCACTGCAATTCCTTCTGCTGCTTCCGTGACTTCTGCTGGGGCTGCATCTGCTTCTTCTGTTCACGTTCACTTTCCAGTTCCAGTTCCAGTCTCCGTTCATGGTGCAGCATCCTCAGCTACTACTACATCTGAAGAAATGGTTAGTACAGTTTATACAAATGCTAATTATGAAAGAATTCAAAATCTGTTTTTAAATTTTATTTTGTTTATTTTAGTGTGTGTGTGAGTGTTGTTAGGGATTGAACCCAGAGCCTCTTGTATGCTAGGCAACAACTCTACCAATGAGTACATCCCTAACCCTGTAAATTGCATATTTTGAAGTCAGAACATTTTTCTGTGGTGAAAAATATCTTTGTATTAAGGCCAATCCATACAAACTATTCAGTATACAAAATAGCTAAAACATTATTTGTAATGAAAATCATAATCCAAAAGTAGTGATAATTAAAACAAAAGAACCTTTTCTTTTGTTTTAAAGAATAATAATAAAGAATCTTTTCTTTACCTTTTTTCAAAAAAACATTCAGGAAAAAAATAGTTTAAAAATTTATGATGGACCTTTTTCTCAGTTTGAAGCAAGCTAATGGGTATTTTCAAGGGTTTAGGAGGTTAATATATATTTAATTATACATTTTCTGTTCAACTCTTAGCTTTTCCTTTTCCTGGATACAGATATATCAACCAGCAGTGCTCTGTAGTGACTCCATCTTGATGAGGTTGTTAAGTTGTGATTGGAACCCAGAAAGGAATAGTTTTCCTAGACTCACTGAGTTTCTATCAGAGAAATGCTTAGAGCAGAGTGTTGAATGGGGATAGTGTTTGAGCACTTGCCAGGAGTGAAATTAAGCCCCTGACACAGTCATCATGGCTGTGATCCCTCAGTCTCCTGCTCCCCTCACTGTATTCTTCAAACAGTGCTTCTCAAAAGGGAATGAAGGGACTCGGGCCTAGCTAAATTTGTCAAACCCACCTTTGTGGAGCTTTTTAAAAACAACATTATGGCCCTCTTCCCTACTCTGGCACAAAGGCTTTAGTTTTGTAAAGCTCCTGAGATGATTCTCCCTAATTCCTAACTTCTCACATAACAGAAAAGATGATGACAGAATAGATTTTTGGTCTTAACCCCCCGCCCACCCTGGCAGGCCACCAGCAAGTACCATTTCCCTGGAAAGTTCTCTGTAGCAAAAGAAGGCATTCTGTCAACCAGAAAACTGATATCTTAAGTCTTCTAGTTGATTTGAATTTCTACCTTTTGTGAGCTACTAATTTTAGAGAAAAATATGTTGGGATCTGCTATTTATCATGTTTGTTCTTAACAAAGGTTGAAAAATATGTAGTACACGGCTGCTAAGAGATATTTGAATATGTGGGGGAGTTTTGATTTAGAAATAAGACACTAAAATCAATCCTGACATATGTTCAGCTGTGTTTATTTTCCATGATTACACATTTTGAAATGTGATCCTATACAGATGAGCTCAGTGAGTGTTTATTTAAATTTTTGGTTTGTCATTCATGTTGCATAAGAAGATAACACACAGCTAGATTTTTCAGAATTCCCTTCTTAAAATATACCAGTATATCTGCATTTATATGAAAACCTGAATATTGCTTGAGGAGAACCTTTTTCTTGCAACTTTTAAAAATAATTTGACCACCTGAGATAATTTTGAAGTCTTTGAAACATGAAAAAAACAGCACTGTGTAAACAACTCTTTTCCATCCCCCCATTCCCACACACTATATCCACCCCTTCAAAAAATTCAATTTCATTCAACTAAGTACAACTTCTAGAGCTAGGGAGAAAGGAAAATTATAAGTAAATCTCTTTGTGAGTATAATACTGGTGTTCTTCTTTCCATATATAATTACAATATCCAGATTTACCTCAAATGTGACTTGTTTTTAAAAGAATCATAATAATAAATGGTAGAAACAAATGTTGACTGACTTAATGTGAAAATAGTCATTGTTGGGAACAGGAAAAAAGATTTATGACCCAGGTCTGGTTATATATCATTCTTCATTTTAATCACAGAGGCTTCCTATGATCTAGTCTTCCTCGATATTTCCAGTGGCTAAAAGGATGTGTGTTCAGAAAACAAAGAGAATTAGGATCAAGAAGCATTCCTATATAATGTAATAAGAAGATATCTTTACCTTGTTTTTCTTTCTACTGACATCTTCATATGTTAAAGAAAATGTCAGTATTTCATAGTTGAAAACATTTTTCAAAAAAAAAAATTAGGCAGTTATACAAGCAAATTCATTGCAATTTACAAGGTTGGAAAATAGGTGGCAGTATACTCTTAACTCCAACTGAAATAGTTAAGGGAAAGTATTTTTACTTGGATTTTAAAGCTATTTGGTAAAGCTATTTAGGAAGGTTTCTTTTCTAACTTTCCTTTTAATCAGAATGAAAAGTGATAAGGTATCATCAATTGGTACTGCTTCTTCCATTTTACAAATGAGGAAATTGAGGCATACAGCATAAGTAACACCCCTGGACACAACTAGTAACTATTAGAGTTGAAATTTCTCCTGCCCAATAAGTGTATTGTCTCCCTCTCAAATATTAAAATATAAATATTGGGTTTTTTAAATACATCATTTCCTCCCTCACATCCCTTCTGATTTTGTTGTTTATGTTGATACAACTTAAAATGCTAGAATTTTTATTTTTACAGAATTAAGTCAGCTTAACTGATACATAATCTCTAAAATGATTGGAAAATGGTCATTTACTAAAAAAATCAACTAAAGCAAAGAATTATTTTTAAATGACATGTACAGATCTATTATTTTATCATAAAACATGTATTAATTTGCCAATTTTAATATGCAGCCACCTGGATATAATTACTGATTAAAATTGTCTTTTTAAATATAAGTTATACGCAATGTAATTTGTTGTTTTCCAGTGTTTTGATAAAGTACAACATGAACTAGCAAAACTTTCAAAGCTGTCTAATTATAAAATCATTCTAGGTTTTTTTTCCTCCACCTAAGTTAGCAGTAATTTTTTCTTATAATGTATATTTATATATTCTTTTTACAATGTTCATAAACACTTTTAAAACAACTTTTTTATCATTTTATGCCATTTTACTTATGTATTATCAAGTACAAGTGACAACCGTTTGAAAACAACTGACTGGTAAACATGCAAGTCATTTAAGGTAACTTCTTGTTTGATTCAAATGAGAATATAGAAATTTCTTTAAAAACTCTTTTTTTTACTGGAGTACATATTTTCTTCTTACTTGAGGCATTCTAAAGTGATTCTCAGCTAGAGTGCAGCTTATCATCTGTGGGTATTTTTTCAGCTACTCTGCTATTTCTCAGTCTGAACCTCTCCAGTTTTATGTATTCTTTCACCTATTCAGGTGAGAATAGCTGCTATAGAAGGCAGTATTTATACCTTTCAAGTGAGATTGGGCAGGAATAATATTCCAAGCTCTATTTTATTTCAGTCTTCAAGTGTTGGCAAAGAATTTTCTTGTCAGCCATTAATTTTTTTATTTTTAAAGTGTTTATTAAGAATTCAGGGGCTGGGGTTGTAGCTCAGCGGTAGATCGCTTACCTACCATGGGCGAGGCCCTGGTTTCAATCCTCAGAACCACATAAAAATAAACAAATTAATTAAAGATATTATATCAAACTACAACAAAAAATAAATATTAAAAAAAATTCATTAACACCTAACCAAGCACGTGGCACAAGCCTGTAATCCCAGTGGCTGGGGAGGCTGAGGCAGGAGAATCGTGAGTTAAAGCCAGCCTCAGCAAAAAATGGAGTGCTAAGCAAATCAGTGAGACCCTGTCTCTAAATATAATACAAAATAGAGCTGGGGATATGGCTCAGTGGTCAAGTGTCCTTGAGTTCAGTCTGTCTACCACCATCCCCCACAAAAAAAAAAAAAAAAAAGACTTCATAATGGTTGACAGGAGTGAAGAATGGTTAGAGGAGGGAGGAGACAGGCAAGACTGTAAATGGTAGCATGAGGACATCTTGGTGAAGGAATAGTCTGCATCTTGATTGTAGTGATAGTCCCAGGAATCAACACATGTGATAAAATGATACAGATCTATACAGAAGCTTTATATCAGTGTCAGCTTCCTGGCATCAGTGTCTTTGTGTACTTTCACTATATATAAGGTATAATTATTGCAGAAACTGAATGAGGAATTCACAGGACTTCTCAATACTGTCTTTGCAACTTCCAGTGAATACATCATTTTTCAAAATAAGTGTTTTTAAAGTCCCTAAAATCTTATAGTTTTATTTTTTCTATATCAAAGTTGACTGAATATACAGTTATTTTAAATGCTGTGTATTTTCTTTGTAAGTTATAGAGTTAAAAGTAATTTAGATTTTGCCATGAATTTTCTACCAACAGTATATTTCTTTGTTTTTCATTTGTTTGGGGGTTTTTTTGTTTGTTTTTTAGTATGTGCCAAGAGTTGTAACTTCAGCACATCAGAAAGCTGGAAGAACAATTACAGCCCGGATCACAGGGAGATGTGATTTTGCTCCAAAAAACAGAATTAATAGCAGTTTAGCTATAATGGGAGTTTCTCCACCCATGAGTTCAGTTATCGTGGAAAAACATCATCCAGTCACAGTGGTAAGTCCACATCCCATGACATATTGTCAAAAAGTCTTTTTCTTGAGTGAGAGTTTATAGACTACTCAATCCTTCAGTGTGGTTTTGAGAAGATGAGAATTCATGATTGGCACTTGTTCTGCCTCATACTGTTGCAATCTGGATATACTTCCTCTTACCAAATCTACCTTTCCCATTTTTAGCAATTGATTTAAGAAACATTGTTTCTTCTAAATAGTATAAAAATTATCAAATACACGGGGCTGGGGTTGTGGCTCAGTGGTAGAGTGCTTGCCTATCATGCACGAGGCACTGGGTTCAAGCCTCAGCACCACATAAGTGTGTCCACCTAATATATTGTGTCCACCTAAAACTAAAAAATATAAATATATATTTAAATTTTTAAAAATTATCAAATACAAAAGTAATCCAGCGTCTGGGTGGTCAAAACAGTAAAGTATATAATGATTTAAGACAAAAACGAATTACTTATGAACCAGTTATTCATTCAACAGATAATTAATTATAAGAAAAATTTCCTACTTTTATAGTTTTTTTTAACTTTTGCTTAACAGGGCACTTAACCACTGAGCCACATCCTTATCTCCTTTTAATTTTGATCTTTTTTTAAAAAATTTTTCTGTAGTTGTAGATGGACAGCATTCCTTTATTTTATTTGTTTCATTTTTATATGGTGCTAAGGATCAAACCCAGTGCCTCACACATGCTAGGCAAATTTTCTGCCACTGAGCCACAGCCCCAGTCCTGTTTTTGATTTGAGACAGGGTCTTTCTATATTGCACAGGCTAGCTTTGAATTTTTGTTCCTCCTGCCTCAGTCTCCTGAGTCTCTGAGATTACAGATGTGTACCACTGCACCCAGCTTTTGCTTTTTTAAAAGGTCTTCTTCCCTTTTTTCAGTACAGTTGCCAGCATATAGCTCTAGTATTAAAGTTGCAATCAATTATGTGATATAAAGAAAAATGAGCCAGATGTCGTGATGCATTGTAATCCCAGTAGCTCAAGGGGCAGAGGCAGGAGGATCTCAAATTCAAAGCCAGCCTCAGCAAATTTATAAGGCCCTAAGCAACTTAGCAAGATCCTGTCTCAAAATAAAAAATAAGAAGTGCTGGGGAGATGGCTAGGACTCAGTGGTTAAGCATCGCTGGGTTCAATCCCCAGTACCAAAAAAAAAAAAGAAAAGAAAGGTGCCTGGAATTTGAAACAGAAAATACCTAACTTAATACCTCACCTTTGGTTCTTATTGCTTTTGAGACCTACAAATCAAGTAAAATACTTGAGCTATATTTTCTTTTCTGTAAAATGGGATTGGTAAGAGAATTCAGCCCCTGGGCTTGTTGTAAGAATTCAGCATTAAATGACATAATGTGAAAATTAAATGAGATATAAAACTAACTTTATAAACTGTAAACCATAAGCAAATTTCTTTTTTTTTTTTTTTTTTTTTTTTTTGGTGCTGGGGATTGAACCCAGGGCCTTGTGCGTGCTAGGCAAGCACTCTCCCAACTGAGCTATAAACCCAACCCCATAAGCAAATTTAACTCACTAAAAATTACCAGAAAAGGAACATGGGAAATCTGTTTTATTTCTTACAAAAGCATGTGAATCAAGAATTATCTCAAAAATTATAATTTTTAAAAAGAGTTATAAGAACAAAGTGGCTGAGGTGGTAGCTCAGTGGTAGAGTGCTTGCCTAGCATGTGTGAAGCATGAGGTTCAATTCTCAGCACTGCATATAAATAAGTAAAATAAAGGTCCATTGACAATTTAAAAAAAAAGAAGAGAAAGAGAGAGAGTTATAAGAACATATCCCTAAAAAGAAATATTGATTGTTTTTAAAAGAGAATGAGGGGGCTGGGGTTGTGGCTCAGAGGCAGAGTGCTCGCCTAGCATGCGTGAGGCACTGGGTTCTATCCTTAGCACCACATAAAAATAAAATACAGACATTGTTTCCACCTATAACTAAAGGATAAATATTTAAAAAGAGAGAATGCCCTCTGGGCTGGGGATATGGTAGAGCACTTTCCTGGCATGTGAAAAGACCTGGATCCCCAGATCCAGAAAAATTTCTAAAACATTAATTTAAAAAAAAAAAAAAAGCATTTAAGAGAATGTCCTCTTTATAAAATTCCTCAACATTAGACAACATTTCTGTCTACTAAGATGTCAAAGTATTAACAAAAAGGTGTATGCATTCTTTTTTTTACCCTTGGTACTAGGGATTGAACCCAGGGGTTCACTACCACTGAGGAGCTCCATCCCCATTGGCTCCCCACTCTTTTTTTTTTTTTTGAGACAGGATCTTACTAAGTCACTAAGGCTGACAGGGATTATAATCAGGCATTTGCCACCATCCTAAATGATTTTTTAGTCCTTTCTGTTCTGGATACTGTGTGGTTACTAGATAAATGAATCAAAGCAGCTGGATTAAATTGAACCTCACGTGAAGTTTGACCTTAGGGAAGTAAAAGAGATGGAAGAACCAAATCAAGAGATATGGAAACAATGGAGAATTTATTTTAGTTTTATGTTGGGTTTCACAAGTTGGACAGGCCCTAAAATCCATAGATGACTATGACTTCTATAAATTGTTTAATGTGTGGCATCAGTTATCAAAATTGACAAGAAATGAAACCATTTCTATTTTTATCAACACAGAGAACTTGTATAGATACCCCAAGATTGTCCATTTGTGAGGTAAGGCATAAAGAGACTACATGTATGTTGTGTTTTTTTTTTTTAGATGTTGATGCATCTTTATTTTATTTATTTATTTATTTATATGTGGTGCTAAGGATCAAACCCAGTGCCTCACACATGCTAGGCAAATGCTCTGCCAAGCCACAACCCAGCCCATGTGTTTATTTTTAATTGGGACAACCTTTGTTTTTATAATAGTGATAGGAAATTTTTTTCTTTTTTATACCAGGGGTTGAACCCAGAGGCACTTAACCACTGAGCCACATCCCCAGCCCTTTTTAGTTTTGAGACAGGGTCTCACTAAATTGCTTATGTTGGCTTTGAACTTGCAATCTTCCTGCCTCAGCCTCCTAAACCACTGGGATTACAAGGATGCACCCATGCCCAGCTAGGAACTCATATTTTACAGAAGAAAAGTCATGGAACTAAAAACTTTCAACTACATTTCTGTTATTTCTTCCTAACTGCTCTGCTTATCAATATGTGCAGTATTTCTCTAGTAGTTATGAATTGGATACCCATAAACTATTTTCATTATTTCTTAACTTGGATTACATGATAGTTTCATTTTTATCTTAGAAATCAAGATCTAGAACTACCAGAGACAGTTCTTACGAATAAACTTGTGACCCCTTAGTCCCATCTGCTGGGTAATTGCTTGCTCCTGATCTACTTCATTAACTCTGCCATATTTTGTATATCATAACACCATTGGCAACTTTAATATATTTCAACAGTCCCTCTTGCCTATTCTACTCAAGAAGAAATAGCTTATTTGATGGATCAGATTAGGTAGCTGGCAACTAAAATTTTATAACAGCTACAAAAATATTTCTAATTTGTAATGGCTATCCATTTTTTTAAGAACAAAGAAACATATAAGATACTTTTTAAAAATTTGTTTAGTGTTGATGGACCTTTATTTATTCATTTATTTATATGTGGTGCTGAGAATTGAACCCAGTACCTCACACATGTGAGAAAGCGCTCTACCACTGATACTTTTACAATGGAAGTTATTTTTCCATTTTGTTAAAGAGAATTTTTCTTATTTTTAAGGCAGAATCTGACATACAGACCTTTTTTTTAAAAAAAAGAAAGTATATCTTAACAGTTTTTTAAATACATAGTAAATGTTTTGACCAATTATATATAACTTCACTTTAAGTATTTTATTGTTTTTTGTTTTGTTTTTTGTGGTGCTAGGGATTGAACATAGTGCCTCACATGTGTTAGGCAAACGCTCTACCACTGAGCCACAACCCTAGTCCTACTTTAAGTATTTTAAAGATGACTTCTCTAAGTGGAAGATCCTAATAGAAATCTATGTGTACCTGAGTGAGAACTTAATTTGACATGAGAAATTATCTTGATTAAAAATCCCACTGTTGCTACTAAGAAGTTGTGTCAGGTATAATAGAGAAAAGTCTGAGTATTCATATGTACATATGTAATGTGTACTTGTGTAAATAACATGTACTTATACATATTATACGTAAGTGCCCTGACATTAATGTTTCAGTGCTCGTGTCCAAGATGTTCCCCTGACCTCTGAGGTGGTGGACATATCCTCCCCTCTATGTGTGTCCTCAATATCTAGTTGTGTCCTTCTTTCAAAAGTTGTGGTCCATATTAAGGGAGCACCAGGCTTCTGGGAATATGTACTCTTATATGACTATAGAAAGTTTTGTCTGCTTCCAGGTGAACCAGGTGAAATATGAGGCCCTTCTTTTTTACTCTGATTTGAAGCAAGGACCAGACAACATACTCAGGGTTCCCTATGCCCCCACAATTGGACTCCACATAGTAACACTCAGAGAGGAGGAAACTGAAATGAAATGAGGGTATGGCTTAGGGCTGACCCTCTTCCAAACATCACAGAGTTCCTTTCTATACCTAGTCTCTATAACCTTTTTCCACTTAGTTCTTTTTGAGGACTCTGGCTCTGAAATACAGATATTTGATATTAAATACATTTAATATCAAATTTAATAATTTGATATTAAATTACAGGTATTGAACTACATATGGGTTCCTTTTGGAGAAGGGCTTGGTCTTTTTTGAATATTGAATTCATTGGTATCTGTTTGATGCTTAACAAAGGTTTGTTGGGATAAATTATAAATGACAAAATGATACTTTATATATAAAGTCTTATGGGATTATTAAAACAGTTTTTTATCTTTTCAGCAAACCATTCCTCAAGCATCAGCTGTAAAATACTCACGGACCATTCATCCTGAAGGTGGTACCTCAGTTTCAAGATCTCTTGGAACCAGAACAACCCACACCCAGTCTCTCACAAGCATTCAGTCCATAAAAGTGGTTGACTAAAGTGAATATGTTCACAGCAAGGTCCTTTAATTCCTCTGGTAAAGACTGTACCAAGAGTTGGAAGTCTTTAGTTTTTAACTTTTCTGAATTGCTAGAACATCATGGATACATCATGTTCATCTTTTCAAAATTATAAGAGACTTTTTCAAGATATACCATCCTTTGTAACTATACTGTAGAAAGTATTTTAATGTTATTTTATTTAAGCAATTAAGTAAAACTTTTTTAAATTAAAAAAGAAACTTCATTTTTTAATATGTTCAACCTGTCACTGATTACATCATCATTTCATCATTTTTTTCTATATCATTTATAAAACAAATAATTTCCAATGTTACTTAACTGTAATTTATATAAAACTTTGAGAGGGAACTTTACTGAAAACAATAAAACTAACAAAAACTAAGTTATTTTTACTTTTAAATTAAAAAAATTAAGACCAAGATTAATAATGGTGGTGTGACCCTGCTAGACATGGGCAGAAATTCTTCAGTAGTTGACCAATATGAAGAAAACATCTGGGCAGAACTGATTTAAGACCTGGCTTCTCAATGGCTTTATTACTGGCTGTGTTATCTTGGGCTTGACACTTAATTTAAGTGAATCGCAGGATCCTCCTCTACCTACCCTACTTATTTCATTTCACACTTATATAGAGTACATAAAAATGGTTCTGAAGAGGCTGTCAAAGGCCCCAATTTCTGTATCTTTAACAGAAATGGATGGTTTAATAATCTGAAACCTCTTCTATTTGAACATGATCTAGTTATATTCTGTAACTTTATTATACAAAATAGTTGCTGCCTCATACTCTTAAGAGGACATCAGAAACAAAACTGATATAGGCAAACAGTTCCTATTTTCTAATGGAACACCATAAGGCTTTTCTGAATTACAAGTATCAGGCTGTTTCTTAATATCTGTTAGATATTTAAGCAACACTTGTTCTGGGTTCTGGCCTAGCTCTCATTGCAAACAACTTTGCTCAGCAAGGACTTCAGCAGGCTATGTGAGCACAAAGCAGCAGCCCCTTATCTCACACCCTTTGTTTTTTTAATTATTATTTTTATTTGTTCTTAGTTGTACATGACAGCAGAATGCATTTCAATTTATCATACACAAATGGAGTGCAACATTTCAATTCTCTGGTTATACACGATATAGAGACGCACCGTTTGTGCAATCAGATATGTACCTAGGGTAATGATCGAACCCTTTTTGTGGACATGCCTTCCCCAGGGCTTCTCTGTTAACTCTCCGTAGATCCAGGAGAGATAGAAGTTTCCTCTTATGCCACTCCTATGACCCACAAATCAATTCTTCTTCTTTCCTCCTTGTATGAATTGTCCTAAGATACACTAGTCCATTCCATCTCTTGGAATAGAGTAACCTCAAGATCAAATAATTTGTGAAGCTTGATACCAAGTAGTAACCAACTTAGTAACACCTATCTTGACTCTCCTTCTTCCCCAGATCTTTTCCTCCACTCCTGCACCCCTAGATTGACACTCCTTTAAAAAGATGTTACACATAAACCTTGATCTTAAGCCCTACATTCTGAGGAATTTAGACTGCAGCTAGGATGCTTTTCAGTATCCAATCCAAAGCCATAGGGACAAACTAAAGCAAATATTAATGAGTGTTATACTTAAGAATAATGGACAAAACCCAAAGACAACATCATAGTGAATAAGGAAAAACTGAAAGTATTTCCTTTAAAATCTAGAACAAGACAAGGATGTCTGCTCTCACCACTCCTATTCAATATACTACTAGAAATTCTAGCCAGAGCAATTAGACAAGAGAAGGAAATTAAAAGGATAAAAATAGGAAGGGAAGAAGTTAAATTATTATTATTGTTTGCAAATGATATGATCCTACATTTATAAGATCAAAAAGCTGCTAGAGCTAATAAATTTCACAAAGTAGCAAATTAAAAAATTGACATACAAAAATCAATAGCTTTGCCATACACCCAAAATGAATCTGCTGAAAAAGAAATTAGGAAAACAATCCAATTCACAACAGCTTTAAAAAAAAAAAAATGAAATCACTGAAGACCCTAGGAGATGAAAAGACTTCCCATATTCATGGGTAGGCAGGATTAATAATGTTAAAATGGTCACAAAAGGACTATATAGAGTCAATGCAATATTCATCAAAATGCCAATGATGTTCTTCACAGAACTAGGGGTCCTAAAATTCATTTGGAAAAAGAAAAAGAAAGTCCTAAAATTCATTTGGAAAAAGAAAAATAAAAGACCCAGAATAGCTAAAGCAATTCTAAGCAAAAAATAAATAAATTTTAAAAAAAATTAAAACCCTGACTTTAAACTATACTAAAGAGCTATAGTACCAAAAACTGCATGGCACTGGCATAAAAACACACACAGAGACCTATGGTACAGAATAGAAAACACAGACAAACCACAGATAATGGTCATCTGATCGTAGGCCAAGATTCCAAAAACATTGGGGAAAAGAGCCTTTTTCACAAATGGTGCTGGGAAAACTGGTTATTCATATGTAGAAAAATGAGACATACTTCCCCATCCAAGGCAGAGTTATCTGTTCTTGAATGAAGTAATTCAGACTTGAGGATGGCACCAGAAGCTCTCAGAAATGACTATGTCCCAAATTAATGAGGGAATTAAAGTACTGGACAGAGAATACTTCCAATATAGCCTTTGAATCACCTCTTTAAAATCATAGCCTCTGGGACAGGAATCCCTTGTGATTCTCCTTTGCTAGGAAAGAAATAAAACTTCTTTTTTCCTTTTTCTCAAAATTAAAAAAAAAAGAAGGAAAGAAAAGCAAAAGAAGGTCAGGGGCATATGTTTTCTCTCGTTTGGAAGCTTGAGAGGAAAAAGGAAAATAAAATTATGGGGTGGGGCATCTCATGAAAATTGCAGGAAGATCAGTAGAGTAGAAGAACGGAATGCAGGGTGACGGGCGCACCAGGGAGGAAATAGTGGGGAATGATATGGGCCAAATTATATTGTTATGTTGTGGGCAGGTACAAATATGTACAATATATCCCACCATTATGTACAACTATAATGAACCAATAAAAAATATGGGAAAAAAAAGAATTGTAACTATCTGTTTAAATTTATCTAAGCTCTAGAAGTTTTTGTATGTTATCTAAAGCACCAAGCAATTAATTTTGGCCTAAGTAAACAAATTCAACAATAAAGCTTTTTATACAATAAGAATATATATTTGCTTATTTTAACTGAAACAGGTTACTCAAGTTTGTGGGGAGGAATGGCAGTGAGGTCAGTGGAAGCTGGTCATAGTTTAAAAAACAGATGGAGACAAGACTTTTCACTCAATACCTTTAAAAAATTTTTTTTGAGATCATGTAAATATATTACCAGTTTTGAACATTTACAGCATTAAGTGAACCATCTACAATCAGAATGAGACAAAGATATAAAAAAATATATAAATTCATGATAGAATAATCATTCGAAATCATTCATGATTTATTACCTATCTTGTAGATTTAGAGTCAGAACTTGACAATGGAGGACCTTAAATGATAATGAGTAGAGGAACATAAACTAGTACAAACTGATACCTGATTTCACATTTATTTCATACCTTTCTTAGACTACAAAAATAATGTGTGTTCATTGTGGAAATAAAATGGAATATACCAAAAATACAAAGGAAATAAAAATCACTTGCAATTACATCATCAAGAAATGAAAAACTATATTTGTGTATATATTTCTGGTGTTTTCTAAGAAATCTATTTCATGTATGTGTGATTTAATGCCACCATATTTCCAAACCCTTACTGAAGAGAAGTAACAGTTCATGATTTCTATGCAATGGTCAGATGGTCCAGCATTTCACAGGATTCTGTCTTCTTCTCCCCAAACCTATGGAATAGACATTTCCCACTTTATAGAAACGGAAAGTGAAGATCTGAGAACTTAAATAATATTAACATGTCCAAGGCTCACAGCTAATAAGTGGCAAAACCCATTTCAAAACTATCTCTATTCTAAAACCTTTGGTTTTTCCATAAGTCACCATGCTGCTCTCACTATCAGACTTTTTAAAACATGAGGTACAAAAATACTCTTCTAGATCATGCCATTACAGGTGTTGAATCAAATGACAAAAGTGGGAAAGACACAACTTGCTTTAAGCAAAAGCCAAAAAGAATAAGTAACCTCTCCATGGTACGAAATTCTAACAGTATTACTCTTTTCCCATTTGCTAGCAGGTCCTGTCACCACCATCTTCATAGTTAAGATGAAAATCAAACTGCTGGAAGAAATAAGAAACTGCATTTAAAAGAACCAAATGCCGAGGGAGAAGTCCCCTTAAAAAAATTTCTTTAGGCTTTTATGAAACTGTACACTTCTTGGAGCTTGAGTCAGTTTTGCTTTTGAATTGACGAATCTTTTCTGGAAAACATAGGGTAACATTAATGATTAATAGCTAACATTTTGTAAGCACTTATAATAGACCAATCATGATTACTCATTTAATCCCACAACAGCCCTCTGAAGTGGATGTTTTTATTTCCCTCCCTAGTTAATCAATGGGAACGCTGGCACAGTGAGGTCATAGAACTTGATCAAGGTCATATAGTATGTGTTGGAGTGCAGAGGTGAACCCATGCAGTCTTGCTTCAGAGCACAGACCCTTCACCACTTCCATGGTCTTCCCTGAGAGTTCTTATGTCAAGAGGATTGACTGGGTGCCTCACAGAAGCAGAAGTCCCTTCCTCAGCTCCATATTTTGGGTGAGCCACAACTGACACCAGCTGAGACTGCTGCTCTTCAGGGTGGGATTTCTGTTCACTGTCCCCTGTCATTGAAGGGTGGAGTTTCTGTTCATGAAAAACTATAACTCACCAGCTAGTTCTGGGAAACCGGCACGTACCAGCTCTTCATACAGGTGCTTGGCAGGATCGAGCTGTGTCATCAGGACCCCATGCAACCAGATGAGCAGAGCCCTGTGGCCATGCTCACGGAAGCTTTCGTTTCCTGCACCAAGCACAAGAGGTTCAAGGTGACACATCACCAACTGGATGTGTTATTCAAATGTGATCTCAGTTCTAACTAAATGTTCTGTGGTCACACATCCATTCCTTTTCTGAGAGCTGCCAGTTCAAAAGCCCAGTGATGGGAGGAAGCCTGTCTAGTTCCCCTCAACAGTGTGTGTTATGACCAGCGTTCCCATCCACTTCAGCTCTGGCCAGGCAACTGCTGTGCTGGCACATACACAAAGGATTGAACAGCTACAGTGCCTGCCTGGTGGCAATGTCAATCTTAATGAAATGTGGAGCTTTGAGACAGTGTGTCTCAGAATCCAAGTGCATACTGCACTGGGGCATCTTGTTAAAATGCAGATTCTAATCCAGTATGTCTGGGCTGAGAATCTGCATGTCTGACAAGCTCCCAGATGTTGCTGCTGCTGTTGCTGCTGGTGATCTATAAATCGCTCTCCAAGCAGCATGTACCATACCACCACTCCAGTTTCAAAAACACGGCCCTGATACGAGTCTGCAACTTCCTGGGTCAGGATTATTCACTTGGTAAATAATCCCTGAATAATTAACCCCTGAAAGATGCTGGGATGTTGAGATGCTAGATGAGATGTAATGCAGAAACCTCTGTCACTCTCAACAAGAATTCATAGTCGCAGACACATAACAGGCTCCCTTGCAGAAGCAGACAGATTTCACAAAAGGGAGGGCCTGAGCTGTAGGAGTGAGGAGAAAGTTCACTGTTCACAGTAGAGGGGCAGGCATTTGGGAAAGAGGAAACTGCATGCATGAAGAATATGCTCTTGGGAAGGCAAACACTCTATTCCTTTCTTAGTCTTGTTCTTGACAAACTTTTCTTCAGTGCCATTTGATATGTCACTCTCTGCCTCAAAGGTCCACAAACTGCCCAGTCAATGCCAGTAGCCTTAGCGTGGATTACCATATGTAATTATTGTAAATGTTAATGTTATTGGGTCAACAAGATTATAAACTCTATCCCACATGCACATGGCTTAGTATTCCTTGCTTGGTGGAGACATATACATTTCAGGTATTCCATAAAGATTTTGTTTTCTATTTTTCAGTCCTGAGGTTTGATTCCAAGGGCCTCACACATGCTAGGCAAGTGCTCTACCACTGAGTTATACCCCCAGCCTTTCCATAAAGATCTGACTTAAACACTTTAAAATCCCCTTTATTCTATAGGCAAGTGCTTTTTTTAATGTTTATCTTGTTTATTTCTATGTGGTGCTGAGGATTGAACCCAGTGCCTCACATGTGTGAGAGGCAAGTGCTCTGCCACTGAGCCACAACCCCAGCCCAGACAAGTACCCTTTTTTTTTTAAAACTGGGAATTTAACCCAGAGGTACTTTACCACTGAGCCATATCCCCAACCCTTCTTATTTTTTATTATTTTGAGACAGGTATCACTAATTTACTTAGAGCCTCACTAAATTGTTGAGACTGATCTCAAACTTGTGATCCTCCTGCCTCAGCCTCCCAAGCCACTATGATTACAAATGTGTACTACCACATTCAGCTCAGGCAAGAATTCTTAATATACACCATGTTTTCAAGTCATTTAAGTTAGAGAGATTTTCAAATTCAGCTCAAATATCTCACAGCTGTCATAGAACATTATCTGCCTAATTAGCCACAGTGACAAAAAGAAATCTTTTCAGAAACAAGTCAATATTCCATGTTTCTAATACATTATATTCCACTTGTTCATATGAAAATGTATCCTTAGAATCAGCAATAAAGAGGTGCATAATTTGCTTGTATGTAGTATAAGTAGACTACACTCATGGAGCTGGGGTTCTACCATTTAATTCTAAGGAATAACTAAGGCAAATCAACCTCTGAATGAGGGCACCTTCCCACCTCAGAATATCCTTGTAAGGGGAATACTCTGAATAGAAAGCTTTGCAAGAAAAAAAAAGTGACAAAGTTGAATAATGTAAAGCAAATTTTTCTGTATTTCCCAGGTTTGGGTCAAGTCATAAAAAAGCAAAGCTAAGGAATCCAGCTGAGCTAACCTCACTAATCCTGACAGCCTAAGTCTGACTGAAATGATTTCATTGCTTGGAATCATCTAACCAATGGAACCCTCTGAGTCTGTGTCTGTCATGGGATAGCCACATCTTCCCCAAGGCCATGTCCTCTTTCCCCTTGACCTGTTGAAGGGATTCCCTCGTAGAGTATAAGTCCTAAACAGTGAGCCATTCAACTCATTCACCCCAGTACAATCTGAAGGGACACCAGAAATTAGACTGGCTTCCCAATAGCATACCACCTGTTAGACCCTTGCTTCCTTTGTGTCTCTTCAGTTGGAAACATTAATTTCTCTATAGGATGATGACCACCTTTTCAATATGGCTCAATTAAAGTAGTTATCTTTTGAAAATTTCAGTTTACTGCAGATTCCCAAGTGTTAGCTTTCTGCAAAGTTTCCAATCACTTCCATGGTCCTAAGTTATCTGTTACTCTCCCAGGAGCCCCTGGACTCTGCTCTTCCAGGCACTTATTTGGAAGATCCAACAGCAGGAAGGACTGCTGCTCCTAACACTGCATGTCTCCTGCCCACATCATCTAGTGCACACTCACCTGACCACTGTTCCTCTATGGCTCTGATCTGGTCATCTGTAAAGTTCCAGAAGTGAGCTAGCCTCTGCCACTCATTGGTTTTCAGCTGACGGTAAGCCAGGTTCCAGAGGAGTGTGCGAATGTGCCTCGTCTCCAGACTGTGGTCTTGCTTGAATGTCAGAGTAAAGCCTGCTTGTGGCTCCCTGATGCTCTCAGGTTGCTCCTACATTCAAAAATAATTGTATCTGGTTATTACAGACATGCCCACATATTGCCTCATTTCAGAATGTATATGTTTTAAATAAAAATTGGTAAGGTGTAACCAAGACCATGTTTTCAATGTCATCTGTGACTGGGTCATTTTTTGCCACCCAAGATGGAGACAAATGTCTGAAATAAAAAGCTTGAGTACCATCTATCTGAAAAGAAAGCATGAGGAATTTTGCAATCTTGTGTCTTGTGCTGCTGTTTGCCCACCACAAAAGAGAACAGAGGGGGGCTGGGGATGTAGCTCAGTTGGTAGAGTACATGCCTACCATGCACAAGGCCCTAGGTTCAATCCCCAGTACACACACACACACACACACACGAGAGAGAGAGAGAGAGAGAGAGAGAGAGAGAGAGAGAGAGAGAACAGAAGGGATATCCTGGCAAAGACAATGTCACAACAAACATATTGTTAATGGTCTTACTTTCAACCCACATCCCCCTTTCTTCTTTTGGATATTTGACATTCTCATATTAAAGCTTCAGTGGAACCTAGATTGAGCCCCATAGCTGGTCCCTTGATTCATCCTGTTCTCTGATGAGTCTGAGGAGAGAAACTAAGAGCCTAACTCAGGGAAAGGATAGGAAAAGAAATGGCCATGAGAGAGACAGAGTGGATATCTTTGTGTAGTAAGCACTGCAGTTATACTCAGCCCAACAGCACTGTGCCTAGATTGGTACATTGTTCTCTGACTTTTTCAAAGTTTCCTCCCTTCTGCAGAATCAAGCCAAAAACACTGGAGAATTTCTGAAAGAAATGCAGTTGTCAAGGATTCCTAGAACCGCATGTCATGCACATGCCAACAGGGCTCCAGATAATCCCACTGCAGAAGGTTGCAAATCAGTTAGGGACTTGTGAGACAGCCCCCCAAGAGGCTTGGGATTTCCTGTCTATTCCCTCCTTTTTCTTGTATAGTGTCTCTATTTTTGTCTTTCACTTAAATAAAAGTAAATCTCAAAGTAAAAGCAGGTGTCAAGGCTTCAAGATATCTGAAGAACAAGATGGAAGTTAATGCTGGAGCAGAAAATGTACCAAAAAAATGGGACCCGAATTTTCAACACCTACGAGAAAAAAAAAAAAAAATTGGTGGGGCTTGCTTATTAGCCCTTGTCATGGGATCAGCCTGCACCCTTCAGGGCATCAACAACTTCCTCCAGGAAATTCTACCAACTCCTGCAAAATGTAGCTAAGGAGAAGGGCAAGACCTTTCTTAGGGTCTATTCTTTGGTTTGAATCTCTGCAGCTTCCTCTATCCTAATAAATCTTAAATTTGGTCTTTTTGTGCTATCCCAAAATTCTTGGAGGTTCTGTTCGTGGTTTCTTACTATCGTCACTGTGGGGTCAACTTTATTTTCAAGATTATGTATTTTTGTCTTCACTGTCTGAGGTTCTGTCTTCCATGTGATCTAGTCTGTGGGTAATGCTTTCTATTGAATTTTTAATTTGGTTTACTGTTTTCTTCATTTCAAGAATTTCTGTTTATTTGTTTTTTTTAGAATCTCTCTTTTTTGAAGTGATCTTTTGTTGCCTGTATTTGTTCTCTTATCTCTTTATTGGACTGATCAATTGTTGCCTTTATTTGTTCTCTTATGTCATTCTTTAATTCACAGATCATTTTAATTACGTACATTTCTTCTACTGTGCTGTGGATTCTATTGTTGAATCATCTTGGTTTGTTTGGGGAACTTTCTTCCCTTGTCTTTTCGTGCTTCCTGGGTGTCTTCCCCTTTAGCAGTGTGGATCCAGGATGTTACAATTTCTACCCTATAATCTTGTAGTGTCCCTTCAGGTTACTGATGTCTCCGTCTTCATGTTGGGCTTCCAGTTCCCGACCCGTGTCCCAAGATCGAAGCTGCTGCAACTGAATAGTGACATCAGCAGCAGAGGTAACCTGAGATACTGGTAGAGGTGTCCCGAGATGGAGGCAACCACTTTCAGAGTTGGGGCTGAAAGGGAGGGCTATCAGATGGCGTTGGACGACCTGTTGGCACGTGATGATGCAGCAGGCAGCTGCCTCTAGGCCCTGTCAGCTGTTAGAAGGTGGGCAGGGCTATGGTGATGGCTGCAGTGTTCCAAGATGGAGGCGAGCAGGCGGGGTGGACAACAGCCTTGGTAAACTGGGAACCTCAGTGAGGGCTCCACCACAGTTCTGTGGGGCTATCCTGGGCCTGTCTGGGCTCCACAGGGGTCCGCAGACCTGACCTGGGCCTGCCTGGGTTCCTTGCCAGTGGGTGGTCCTATCCTGGGCCTGCCTGGGCTCCACTGGGATCAGCAGGGCTGTCCTGGGCCTAGGCCTGGACCTGGGCTGGGACAGGGAAGGGGTGGAGGTGGGGGCTGACCTGGGCCTGCCTGGGCTCCACGCAGATCGGCTGGACTTGGGGTCTATACTTTGTATACAGAAGTTGGAATAGGAATGGAGATATGAATTACCCAACTATTGTTTAAGAGGCTAAGAATGCAAGATCTTCTCTAGCCTCACCTGAGCTTTATTTTCACAGTGCCTCGCTTTCAGGAATCCTAAGAGATAAGGCTGAGGGTGAAAAAATCCAATAAACTTGGGAACTATAGGTACTTCACCTCATTCCATGTACTGAAACAATGATGAGCCTATCAACATCACAACTCCAAACAACCAAGGTGAAAAGAAGAGGGTAGAATGATTTTGTATTTACCTTTGCATTACAGCATTCATAGGAGCAGGATGGATACTAGGGATCAAACCTGTGGCCTTATGCATGCTAAGCAAGCATGCTACCACTGAGCTGCATCACCAGTCCTGTATTTTATGAAAATTTAGAGAAACTTGCATGTTTCATGCATACCAGGATCAGGCTGATTGGAACTTCAAACCTCCATAAGAAAGGGCTCAGGATTTGGAAAGCCCCAGTCATTTCCAACATTTAGTAAAAGCATTAAATAGACAAAGTATCTGCCAAAGCACTAAACTATTTGCATTAGTAACACAAGCCAAATCAGTAGAGATTAACACTAGCCACATTTTAGGAAGCTCCCTTTTGCCTCTGAATCATTGAATTTAATGATAGATGATTTAAGCTGGGCACGGTGGCGCACACCTGTAATTCCAGCAGCTCAGGAGGCTGAGGCAGAAAGATCCAGAGTTCAAAGCCAGGGAGACACTAAGCAAGTCAGTGAGACCCTGTCTCTAAATAAAATACAAAATAGGGCTGGGGATGGGGCTCAGTGGTTGAGTGCCTCTGAGTTCAATCCCTGGTACCACCCCCCCAAAAAAAAATGATGGATGATTTAATGATGGTTAAATTGCTATATAAATAGATAATGAATGTGAGAGGAAATTTAAATCACATCTTTAATCCTTTTATTAGAAAACATTTCATATGAGTCCAGAATACAAATTTGATGAACAAATATTTAAAAATAATAAATTCATTTGGTTTAAAAAAGTTAAGGCTATATATTAAAAAACAAGTCTCAGGTCTTCCTCCCACCCTAGACCTGTCATCAAGATTGATAACTCTTGCTGGGGCAGTGATGCATGCCTATAATCCCAGGAAATCAGGACCCTGAAGCAAGAGGATTGCAAGTCTAAGGCCAACCTCAGCAACTTACTGAGACCCTGTCTCAAAATAAAAAGGGATGGGGGTGCTGGGGTTGTGGCTCAGTGGTAGAGCACTTGCCTAGCATGTGTGAGGCACTGGGTTTGATTCTCAGCACCACCTATAAATAAATAAATAGATTAATTAATTAATTAAAGGTCCATTAACAACTAAAAAAAAGCTAGGGTGGGAGTTGGGGATTTGGCTCAGTGATAAAGTGCCTCTTGGTTCAATCCCAGTACCAAGAAAAAAAAAGATTAATAACTTACCATTTCTGGGACCCTCCTTCAGCTATATTTATAAATTACATATGGTTTTCAAAGTTTCTCTCTTGTATCTTAAGGATTTGTTGGGAAAAAGAGCTTATTCATTTGATGGAAAAATCATTTATACTCATCTAGCCACCAAGAATCTAAAGACATTATCAGGCATTAAAAAATAGAACAAATGACTATATCTATTTTCAAAGAAAATGTGGAAGCAACAATTTCTTTTCCCCCGCCCTGCCAGTTCTGGGTATCCAACCTAATCCCTTGTACATGCTAGGCAAGCAGTCTATGACTGAGCTATATCCCTGGCCCTGGAAGCAATGATTTATAATACTTTAATTTTTTTTATTTTTAGTTATAGATGACACAATACCTTTATTTTACTTATTTATTTATTTTTATGTGACGCTGAGGATGAAATCCAGTGCCTCACCCACATAAGGCAGGTGCTCTGCCACTGAGCCACAACCCTAGTCCCTGGAAACAATGATTTAAAGAGCAAGATGAAAGGTGGAAATTTGAAAAGTTGTCCTCAATAAAATAGGCAATTTGAGAAAATGAGCTTAAAAGGAAAAGGGGCAAAGAGGAGGAGGAGGAGGAACAATAGAAATAGAAGAGGAAGGAGAACAATAATAGAAATAGAATATTAAACAGGGAGTTCTATTTGTTTTTTTTTTAACACTAATGTATTTTCTTTTTTTTTAAAGAGAAAGAGAGAGAGAAGAGAGAGAAAAAAATTTTTTTTTAATATTTATTTTTCAGTTTTCGGTAGACACAACATCTTTATGTTGTTTTTATGTGGTGCTGAGGATCGAACCCAGCGCCCAGCGCATGCCAGGCGAGTGTGTTACCACTTGAGCCACATCCCCAGCCCACCAGGGAGTTCTATTTGTTAAAAAAAATTTTTTTTTAGTCACTTTACAGATATTACGGTTTGGATTTGTAAAGTCCCCTAAAAGCTAGTGTGTTGAAAACATGGTCCCCAATACACCAAAGTTCAGAGGTGAGGCTTTTAGGGAATGATTGGATCATGAGGGCTTTGACCTAATCAGTGGACTACTGGGAGGTAGGACCTAGTTGGAGAAATCAGGTCACTGGGGGCATGCCCTAGGTTTATTTTATCCTCAACTCTCTCCTTTGCCCCTGTCTTTCTCTCTTTCTCCCCCTCCCTACCCCCCACCTCTCAGCTTATCAACTCCATGAACTGAGCACTTTTCCTCTGCCATGTCTTTCCACCGTGTTTCTACCTTGGAATAGCTGACCATGGACTAAATCCTTTGAAACCATGAGCCAAAATAAACCTTTCCTCCTTTAAGTTGTTCTTGTCAGGCATTCTGGTTGCAGCAACAAAAAGCTGACTAACACAACAGGCAAAACATAGGCGAGAAAAGTTGCAAGGACCATGGTGTGGCCTTTAAAGGGATCCAGACACAGTCAAGTACTGCATGATATATACAATGACATATACACTGACAATAGCTACATCATAGCATACAGGTGTGGTGGGGCAAACCATCTAGGTTTGTGTAAGTACACTCTAAGAGGTTCACACAATGATCAAATTGCTAATGACACACTTCTCAGGAAGTGTCCTAATCCTTGCAACACATAACTGCATATCCCAACTACTGAGCTGATTAAACAGGACTGTGAGAGAGTAGACAATAAATATTTTTCCCTTTAAGGATTTAAGGCATATTTCCCAGGATGGGCCGAATGGACAGCAATCTAGGTGTGTGGCTCCTCCAGGAGAGACACCTACATGATGAGAACCCGAATTCTGCTGCTAACATTGGAGGTGTGGTAGCCATGCAGCCTCAGCTGGAAATGATGCATCGCTAGAAACTGAGGCTGGTATCTGATAATGAAATCCTGCCTGAAGGTATAGACTTGAATCTTGGAGGAGAGGACAGTCTATGGAGAAGCTGCACAAGTGACAGACATCAGAGCAAATAAAAATGAAAGAAAGGAAAAGGTGAGTTAGAGACAAGTTTTTTTTATGTTCTCAGATGAATAAGGTTCTGTGACTGTCACAGAATACTTGAGTGGTGAAGAGCCAGTAGAGGGTGCATTGAAAATTACAGAGCCATAAATAGGAACCTTTTAACCAGCCATTAGAGTCTCCTGTAACAGAATATGGCCAGAGACCAGAGGACAGAGGCACAGCCAGGGAGTCACCCATTAGGGACTTGTCCACTGTACCCATTAGAGCCAGCAATAATGAGCCCAGCTCAATAGTGAGCCCAGCTCACGAACTCCCTCTACTGCTGATGCTGGCAAAGGAAAAGGAGAGGGAGCAGGCAGCTGTTCGTTCTGTGAATGAGGGCAGCACAGGACAGAAAGGACAATTATAATTATAGTGGCAAGGGCTTCTGCCTATGAGAGCAGAAACACTGCCCAATAAGAAGACAGGGGTTGCTAGAAGAGCCTCCTGCTCTGCTGACATTGCCTTACCTCTCTCCAGGCATAGTATCTCTCTGCTTTAATAAGCATGTCCACAACAAGGCTGTGGTTGCTCCTAGATGCCACAGCCAACGCAGTCTTTCCTTGCTAAAAGTTAAAAGAGAAAAGTAAGTGTCAGGTGCTATCACCTGGTAGTTAGGAGCTGTAGCTTTGGAACAAGGGATCTGGGTTCAGATCTGATCCTACCACTTCCTTGTTGGGTGAATTTTAGCCAGTCCTTGGCTTCTCTGGGGCTCCAAAATTACACCAAGGTGTAGTGGTGAGGATAATGCATACAAAGTACTTAGAGCATGTGCCACCATTAACCTCCCTTGCAGTTAGGTAAGTGACTCACATTCTGGCCAATGGTATGTAAATGGAAGGGCATAGGCAAACATGGGAAACATCTTTTTTTGTTTTGTTTTGTACCAGGAATTGAACCCAGGAGTACTCTACCACTGAGCCACATCCCCATCCTTTCTTATTTTTGATACTGGACCTACTAAATTTCTAAGGCTGGATTTGAAATTTTGATCCCCCAGCCTCCTGAATCACTGGGATTATAGGCATACACCACCATGACTGGCTATGGGAAGTATTTTTAAAGACAGGAGAGATGTCATTGTCCTTCCATTCCATCTCTTCCTGAATGGAAAGCTGATAGGATGGCAGAAGTTTGAAGTGGAAGTCTCAAAATATGACTTCCACTTCCTTTTCTGAAGTGGAAGCCATGTTTTGAGGAGGGCAGAGTAATAAGACAGAAAAGAGCTGGATCTTATTAATTATCAATAACACAACTAATTCATGTATAAAATTCAGTTCACTGGACTCATGGCTAGAAATTTTTTTTTCTATCATAGCACACTAACAAAAAGGGTGAGGTATCACCACCACTCTAACAAAATAGAATGAGCAAAAGAGACTGTCCTGGACATCGTGTGGAGCATGTTCTTCTTGGAGCCCATATGGTATCATATACAAATTACAAAAAGGTGCTCCTTTCTCAGGATGAATATAGCTCAAAGCCAGGGTACACAGCTTTGCAAACAACATCTCTTAGATTTTATTCAGTGCACAACTTCTACAGCTATACATTTTTCCCTGACAAAAATGGTAGTTCTTATTTGTTTTTCAAATGACCCATGAGGAATTCACTTAGGAATCCTGAAAATAATCAGAATTCATGGTCAGTGGTAACTCCAGAAGTTCTGCTCTTAGGAAACTATGGTTCTAACCTTACAGATCTAATCTATCCCAATAATTCTCGGACATGGCTGGATATTGGCAGCAAGTACAATTCCCACCCACACAAATGCCTGGGCTATTAGTCCAGGCACAAAAATCCAGGTGAGCTGGAAAATTGGGGATGAATGTAATCAGCCTCTAATCAAAAGAGACAGTAATGAAATTAGGAAGAACTACATTTTGCAGGCATTTAGCAAGCCTCTAATTGCATGCTGCCTAAATTCTGGCTTATAAAGCCATTTGAATCACCATAATTAGCCTATTTTGGGAAGGCAGCATCTGAAAGCCAGAGTTTTCAGACTCATGAGAAAAATCTTCCTATAGAGTAGATGCTGGAATGAAAGTCCCAGCACATCTGCCCTTGCAGGTAAAGGAGTAGGTGGCTGTAAGGCCCTTTGGGAGCTTTGTGACATCTCAGGCCCCAAGACAAGCTTCTGGGAAAATCAAATCCAACCCAACTTTTACTCCCTTTGTCCCATCCAGACTTTAATGCAGCTTTAGAAACACTCATCTTTGGTAAAAATCATGGGAACAGGTAGAAAACATTGTTTTTATTTACCAACTAAATATGTATTGGGTGCCAACTATGGGCCAGACCCAGAAAAGAAAAAGGTGGACGGAAGGGATATCTGGGAAAATCGAATTGCAAGGCCTAGTAACACTGGGCTTTTGTTTTGAGAACAAAGTCAAGCAGTAGCATCGACCATGATTACTTGGATATCCAGTCAATAGCACCAGAAACCCCAACATGAATTTCTACCAAATGCTATGGATTCTCTATTCACAAAATTGCCCTGAGCTTGTGAGGTATGAATGAAAAAGTTGAATAAATTAGAAAAGAATACGTGGGTAAACACTAATGGTAAATGTTAACAAAGTTAACTAGCCACAATAGGGGAAAGTGGTGGAATTCCACCCAAGAGATGGAATTATGGATGGTTGTGTTTTCCTTTCCGTATACTTTATCTATTTTCCAAATTGAGGGCTTGTTACTTTTATAATTTGAAAAAAAAAACAGTTGACCAAATTATGTACATGTGTGAATACATAGCAATGAAGCCCACTATATTGCACAATTAGAATGCATCAGTTTTTAAAAATCTTAAAAAAAAAAAAAAAAACAGAATCAGAGAAAAGCAAAATAACATAACTACTTCAGATTGTATAAACATAGCATGTGATTTTGAGGTAGATAGCATGAATTAGGGAGGTGCTAAGCTAATGCACTGCATGGGTGAAAACAAGGAAGGAAAAATTAAGTTTTGAACAGGGAGTGTAGAGTACATGCATGATGTCCTGGGTTTAAACCCCAGCACCAAAAAAAAAAAAAAAAAAATTAAGAAGGTAAACTTTATGCTATGTGTACTTACCACAATTAAAATTTTATTAAATTTAGAAAAAAAACAAGTTTAGATACATATAAGTGTGTTCCTTGCAGCTTTATCAAAAGCTGAGGAACAACTTAAGAACCCATGCAGCTGCAAAAGAAAAAATGAAGAAACTCTTCATAATTAATATGTAAAGTCCTACACTTTAAAATTCTTAACACTAGAACATATAGCTATGTTACCACTGTCTTAAAAAAGATGGAAGAATAAAATAAAGGTACAATACACTTATGCTTGTTTACATATTCAAAAAGAACTCTGGAAGGAACAGAAGAAATTTATTGAAATGGCTGCATATGGCCATGGTAGTACAGGAACCAGACAAGTAAGAACAAGGATGTGTGTGAAATTTTTACTGCAAACCTTTTGTATATATATGCTTACATAGAGAGAGAAAATATACTATATTTAGAAAAAATATATATATGGTAAGGGCTTACAGTAAAAATTATATATAATCTTATAAATATTGTATATAACAATATATATGTGTAAATATGATTATATGTCATATAATTATATATTATTATAATATATTATATATCATATTATATATCATAATATATGTTTAAAATATTATGTATAGGGGCTAGGGATGTGGCTCAAGCAGTAGCACGCTTGCCTGGCATGCGCGGGGCGCTGGTTTCGATCCTCAGCACCACATAAAATAAAATAAAGATGTTGTGTCCACCGAAAACTGAAAAATAAATATTAAAAAATATTCTCTCTCTATCTCTCTTTAAAAAAAATGTGTACAGTATTTTTATATTATAAAATAATATATAATATAAATATAAAATAAATATATACTAAATATATTTAAAATATGTATAATATAATATTTATACATAATATGTTAAATATATAAGCATACCATTACATAACATATAAATATAATATGAAAATATTATATGTAATATAATACACAAAATTTTGGGGCCATGTGAATCTATGATCTTTTTAAAAATTCAATGAATAATTTGAATCTTAAAAGCACATATTTCATTATTTAGAGTAAAAATTTTTACTGACATATCTCAATCAAAGTTGGGATGTTTTCATGACTATGAAAATGCAAGGTCTCTCCAGTTTGTGCCCATTTACCAAAGGGAATACCGATGCTTCCCCTACTGGCAGCTGACAAGGAGACCTCCATTACCATCTCCCTGACCTGAGTCAAGTTGGTGCATTTACCTTATCAACAACCTTTAAGTCACAGCCAGCCTTCAGCAGGGTTTCCACCAGTTCCACATTTCCAAGATCAGCTGCTACATGCAGAGGGGTTTGCAGTCTCTGACATGAGAGATCATAAAGAAGTAACAGAAGAACATTAAAGAGGGGTAAAGACGTGCATAGTAAAAAGGGAATGTATGGGTGTGCTGTATAGGCTTGAGGAAAAATGGATACAACCATGTGTTTTTTAATGGGGACAATCATTGCAGTATTGTTATATTTTAAAATTATTATTATTATTATTATTAGTAGTAGTAGTAGTAGTAGTAGTAGTAGTAGTAGTAGTATCAGGGGTTGAACCCAGGGGTGCTTAACCACTCAGCAACATCCCCAACACTTTATATATTTTAATTTAGAGATGGATCTTGCTGAGTTGCCTAGGGGCCTTGCTAAGTTGCTGAGGACACCTTTGAATTCAAGATCCTCCTTCCTCAGCCTCCTGAGCCACTGGAATTACAGGCCACCATGCCCAGCTGCAGTATTATTTTTAATAGTAAAAAAAAATGAGAGGAAGTTATACATTTAACAGGGAGCCATTAGACAAATTATACTACATCTATAGTAGACAACCATTAAAAGGTTATTTCAGAACCTGGTACAGTGGTGCACATCTGTGTCCCAGCTACTCAGGAGACTGAGGCAGGAGGATCACTTGAGCACAGGAATTTGTCACCAGCCTGGGCAACATAATGAGATCCCATCTCAAGCCACAGAGAGAGAAAAACAGAGACAGAGACTGAGAGACAGGGATTTCAATGAGTTACCTAGAGTAGTCAAATTTCACAGACAGAAAGTTAAACAAACAGTGGTCACTAGGAGTTGGGGTAGAAGGAAATAACGAGTTATTCTTTAGTGGGTGTGGAGTCTCAGTCTGAGGAAATGAAAACAGTTCTGGAGGTGGATGGTGGTAATGGTTGCACAACAATGTGAATGCAATTAACATCACAGGATGGTAAGCTCAAAAACCAGTAACTTCTATTTGTATTTTACCACAATAAAAACTCAAACATTATTTTTATAGGGTTGGGGCTGTAGCTCAGTGGTAGAACACTTGCCTAGCATGGGAGGCCCTGGGTTCAATCCCCAGCACTGTAATCAATAAATAAGCATATAAGTAAATAAATAAAAGATTATTTTTACAAATAGAAAATATTTATGATGTAGTGTTAAGAATCTTAGGAGACAACAGCACTATACCTAGCTGAGTTTAATTTAAGATACATACAAAAAAAAGACAGGGAAATATAACAATGATAATGGCTAGATGAAGGGATTAGAGGTTATTTTCATTGCCTTCTTGATGCTTTTCTTTGTTCTCTAAATTTTACACATAATAATGTGAAAGGAGTGAAAGACTTATTTCTTTTGTGGGTAATCATTTTCCTATGAGGGTGTTTCAAAAGAAACGTGTGCTCTCATAAGAAAACCACTCATCTTAACCTTTCACCAAAAGTAATGCTGATGTGAAGACATTTTTCAAATACTAGGACAAAAAGGAACTTGGATATTATCGAACCCAACCCCTTAAACATAGAGGGGAAGCAACTTCTCCTGGGTCACACAGCTGGGCAACAGCAAGAAGCCCAGTACTTTCTTTCTACCAGAACACAAGGCCAACTCGCTTGAGGTGTTGACTTGATTATGAAAAAGCATTTATTAAAGGTCCACCTGTAGATGGCAGTGTGCTCCACTGGAGCTCCATCATTGAAGACTCCACCCTTTTCACAAACCTTCCAAAGGTACACACCAAAATGGAACAGAGATAAAGCATAATACATCAGATACCAATAAAATTGCATTTGGATATTAAAGCTATTAAAGTCTAGAAGACACTAAATGCACCAAAACATTAACAAGAGTTATCTTTCTTTGGTGGAGACACAAACACATTCACCTTTTTACTATCTTTATGTTATTTTGTATAAATATTTTATATGTAAAACATGAATTTTCTACTGTGGGTGGTGACACATGCCTATAGTCTCAGCTGCTTGGGAGGCTGAGGCAGGAGGATTGCGAGTTCAAAGACAGCCTCAGCAACTTAGCAAGGTTCTAATCAACTTAGCAAGATGCTGTCCCAAAATTTTTTAAAAAGAAATAAATAAAAGGGTTGGTGATGTGTTTCAATGGTTAAGTATCCCAGGTTCAATCCCTGGTGTGTGTGTGTGTGTGTGTGTGTGTGTGTGTGTGTGTTGTGTACAAATTTTCTGATTTCACATGTGTATTTTTTCTGGTCTAATAAAAAGATTGAAGTGATCAAATCTAGTTCTATAAATGCTCCTTCCCTAGACTGCATCCTGCCAGTTCTTGGAAACAGATCACACATGAACACAGGTTTTGGGTATTTAACAAACATTTTTACCCATTAGAAAAGATTCATGGTATTAACATAATCCAATAAGTAAATATATTTAATAACAAGAGGGTTTTCCCTTCACTCGATCTTTTGTGATCGTGAAAGATATAAAAACGAAGGAAGAGTTCCTGGAGGAGGAAAGAGACAGAAATGGAGATACGTCTTCCTTTAGCTCACAGCAAAAATTAACTCAGAGGTTGGAGGTGGAGAAGACCGCAGAGACCTGAGTCATGCTCTGGTTTTGCATAGGAGGAAATGGGCACCCCATGGTGCGTTAGAACAAACATGCCCACTGCATATAAATAAATGCCCTATGCCCTAACTTGCAGGGCATAGCTGGGGTTTCCTTCTCCTGACATCCACTGGAAGATGGCAGCTCAGCCCCAGAGAGCAGCATGGCCAGACAGCTCCGCTTGGCTCTGTTGTTCTACCTAAAACTCTCATTTTCAACCAGTGACAGATTGATAGCTTTTAGGAGGCATTTGATTCTGCTCCCTTTGATTGAATTCCTGGTCATCAGTGTATTCCAAGAGGTCTTTTTTGCCTTCGGGCAAAGCAAGATACATTTACCGTCTCTAATGTAGAAACAAAGCTTCCTTCTTGTGGGGAAGGGCTCTTGGCCAAGGACAACATTTCACACATTTCACACAGCAGGAGTGGCTTTTGATTTAAAGGGCCTCTGGCAATTTACCTCTGAGCTACTGTTTATCACAAGTGCTACAAGTGCTACAGCTGTTCAATGTGAACAATCTGATCATGGACTGGCTAAACCCCAGTTACATCTTTTGAAAGAGAAAGTATGAGGGTGTAATGGAAGTTACAGAAGAAAAAAGGATAAAAAAAGACGCACATGCTTCTCCCAGGAACCTTTAAGGCAACTTGAACTCCATCAGAACTCCCCATAAATGCACAACTGTGTTGAAAAATAAGAAAATAAACTCTTTGGATTCTGATTTGCTTGGCTTACCTGATTTAAGATGTCAATATCATGCTGTGCACTTAATAAGCTGTTTACCACTGTGACATGGTTGTTGATAACTGCTAAATGAAGAGGGGACTCCTTAGGCTGCAGAAATAAGAAAAATTTTCAAATTCAAAAGATTCTGGTTTCAACATTCAAATCACAAAGCGACTCATTTCAGCAGACATTTCCTGATCTTCTCTGAGTACCAAAATTGCTCAACCCAGTGGTGAGCACATAGTTAAGAGTTCTGCAAATATTATCATTCTGAGGGCTGTATGTGAAGCAAGCCAGCTCACCAGCAATCAGCTCTCCCCATCCACTGTTCTGGAACTATATACTGAGCACTTAGTATGGGCCAGTCTCTTTTCAGAATGCCAGGGATTTAGTAGTGACCAGAGCCCATTCTCAGAAATCTTCTAATTTACTGGGGCAAACAAATGTTCTTTTTGCTTTTTTTTTTTTAGAAAGTCACATGAATATGTAATGAAATTGTGATAAGTGTTTGGAAGGAAAGGTCAAAAGTGCTGTGAAGGTATGCTTGGTGGTTGGGGAAGGGTTGACCTTTCAGGAGGACAGAAAATGCTTTCCTGAAGAACCAACAGCTGACCTCAAATATGAATAAGGAAGTACTAAACAGGTTGAACTGCAGGACTTCTCAGAGCCTTCAAAGAGCCAAAAGACAATAGAAACAGCCACAGAAGGGGAAATGTATACACATTCAGCATTTCCTGAACTGATATGATCTAAAGCCCTCAATCCCTTGAATGTCTTGCAGAACCGGTATCTCCACTTACTCATGCGCTAGGTTCTCAGGTTCAGCCTTCCTGCCTCCACAGAGTCCAGCCACAATGTATTCATCAAAACTTTTGAAGCCTTCTCCCTGTTTGTCTCCTTTGTGGCTAAACTGTCTATCTTCTGAGCTTATGACCCCTCTCACCCATCTCTACCCTGGCTTCTTACTACCCTTCAGACTACAGAAACAGCCCCATCACCATCACACACTTTGCCTCCAAGCTTCCCTGCTGCCTCACCTACCCAGCTGCACAGGCTGCAGAGGCACAAGAGAAAACATGACTCAGGGAGGAGACAAGGAAGCTGGAAGGGAGTAAGAGGTAGGGGAAAGTCGATGAAGTGGAGAGGGGGGGCAAAAACAATTAGGGCAGGAGAGGGGTGGGGAAGGAGCATCCGGTGAGGGTCATGAGGGAGGGAGGGGTGCAGGTGCAAGAGAGCTTGGGCAGAAGATCCAAGGAGACTGTGTGCAGGGGTAGGGGCATGGTAGGAGAGACAGGAGCAGAGTGAGTGGAGAGAGGGGACACAGATGCATGCGAGAGCCAGCTATTAGGACAGAAGAGTGCAACGTCCATCAAGTGTAACAGGTGATAACGATAAGCATCAGTTGGGCGCATTCAACACATTCTCACAATGTACTTACTACACACTTCCCCCCAGCACTAGGGAAACTGTCTTAAACAGTAGGTTAACTGACAGCTTTTCAGAAACCATGTCATTCACGGCAATTCTAGCACTCGATTTTATATTCTCCACTTTATACATTAGACACGGAGAGGATCAGTAACTTTGGCAAGGCCATAGAGCAAGAAAGTGGGAGAGACCAGAATTGAACCAAGACCTTCCTGACTTCCATATGCAGCAGACTCCTTCTCAGGAGACAGGGGAAAACAGATGGAAGAGAGATGGAGTGAGTTGGCAAGTTTCACCAGCACACAGAGGAAGAGGAGAGGAAAGGAGGGGCAGGTAGGGCTGCTGCCTGAGCAGATCAGAGGCTGGCTGAGGGGGAAAAAGGAGAAGATGGCACTGAGGAAAGCTTGTGGGTGCCATCTGAGGGTGAGGCTGCATAGGCCTCCTTTGTTCAGGAATACTTCCTCCCTTGAAGCTCTAAGCATGAACACAGAGAAAGCATCCTTCACCTCAAAGAAGCAGGCAGCATCCTTCTTGCCAGGGCCACCCGCCTTGTGGCGCCCAGCTCCTCCTGAGAAACAGGAAGCATCCTTGGCCTGAAACCAGTTAGTTCAGAGCCAGTTTCCCTAACTCCATGCTCCAAAAACCATCAGACAGGGTTTAAATCACATCCCTTACTCTCAAGTTAATGCAGTAAATAATAATGTCTCAGCAAGATCTGAGGAAATAATATTCTCACAAGAGAAACAAGAATACAGTGAAAAATAAAGGAAAGCTTCCTGTCCAATTCCAGCACAGAGGGCCTTTGTTAATTCTACCAAAGCCAATTCAAACTTCAGAAAACCTAAATCATTATAAAGGATTGTCTTTCACAAGAAAAACAAGATCACTCAGCAAGATGGAAAAATTATCACTCTTCTTCATGTTTACAGCAGCTTCATTTCCCAGACTGATGAGATTCCAACAAGAGTCACGGCATCTCTAGACGCACGAGAAAGTTTTATTGCAGCGAATATAAATATTTAAAACACAAAGATTTCATTTTGCTCTGGAACTTCAGTGACTTTCTAAAATTCATCCCTGAGATTGTATTTCTCAAGATTAAGACTTAGCCTCCAAAAACAGTCAGTCAGGCTTCCCAGAAAGAATCCCTCCCTTGTGAAACATCTCATCCCACACATCTATCTGTGAAGGACATCTCCCTGGCCGCCAGCCTGGGGCGCCAGGACCAAAACCTGTGTAAACTAGAATAGACTCACTTCCATCCTCTGGTGCAGATCGATGTTCTCACTGAGAAGAAAGTTGACAAGGGATGTGTGGCCATTCCGGGTTGCAGTCTGCAAAACACTGACATTGAGCTGCAAGAGAGAGGTCGAGAGAGCAGGGAGGATCCCCCATCAAAACCCAACATGCTATGCAGTGTTCATCATGCGATGAATAATTAGTATAATGACAAAATACAACTATTTTGAAAAGGAAATCCAATGTGTTACCAATTATTTGGGAGGGTGGGCAGAGACTGTTACCTCAAAGTGTCTCCCATTAAGCTGTCAGAGTTCAGGAACATTTGTGCAATGGACTACAAGTATCCCCTCAAAATACATATGGTGAAACCCTAATCCCAATTGCCACACATCTTTTGGAAGTTGGGCCTTTGGAAGGTGATAAGGTCATAAGAATTGAGCCCTGGTGAATGGGATTCATGCCCCTATTTAAAAAAAAAAAAAATACAACCAGAGCACTTTCTAGTCCTCTTTCTGTTATGTGAGGGCACAACAAACAGCTGTCCATAAACTAAGAAGAGCACACTCACTAGAACTTCACCCAACTAGCTCCCTAACAGACTTCCGGCCTGCAGGGCTATGAGAAATAGCCCTGTTTGTTGTTAAAGCCACCCAGTTTGATGGTATTTTCTTATAGCACCCTGAGTGCTAAAGTTAAGACAAATTTGCTGCAGGTAAATAAGAGTTAAATCCCTGCTTGGAGAAGTAGGAAGTGAATTAGAACCAGGTCGACTCTCTACACTTCCCAGCAAATGCCTTCCTTGAGTGAAATAGGTAACTTGGTTATTGGTCTCCAGAAGGCCTCAGTGGGGGTTGAAGTTGTGGCTCAGGGGTAGAGCACTCGCCTAGCATGTGTGAGGCCCTGGGTTTGATCCTCAGCAACATATAATTATAAATAAAAAAAATAAAGGTACTGTGTCCAACGGTAACTAAAAAATAAAACGTTAAAATGATTTCCTCCCTCCCTGTCTCTGTTGACTACCAGATCTCCTCTTTGCCAGGTACAGCTTCACAGTTTAGTATGATTTCCACCCTTGGGAAGGACTGCCTCTCTGTCCTTTTACCTGTCTCCTTTAGCACCTTTTTTCTACTCTGCTTCCAGCTGCCTCCTGAGGCTTCCCTAAGCTCACTATCTGCACTTAGCACCCAAGCTAGATGGCACCCTGTTCCAGGGCACAGCCTGCTCTTGGTAATCCTTGAACTTCCAACCTGCCCAGCATGGCACCTTGCAATAATGCAATTAGTTGTTGACTGATCAACCATAAGACTGCCACAAAGTATTTTCAGGTGCTCCATAAAAGGGTACTCTAGGGCAGGGGTTATGGCTCAGAGGTAGAGCACTCACCTGGTGTGAGTGAGGCACTGGGTTTGATCCTCAGCACAACATAAAAATAAAATAAAGATGTTGTGTCCACCTATAACTAAAAAATATATTTTTTTAAAAAAAGGGTACTCTAGAAAACTGCTTTCCCTAAATGGCTGCATTGGTATCCCGTCCCACATGCTCTGTTGCAATGTGACTTTGCCATTCTCCCTCAGGAGGGAGGGTTTGCTTCTTCACTCTCTTGAATCTGAGTAGACTCTATAACTGCTTTGGCCAACAGAGTATGGTAGAAGTGATGGCATGACCCCTAATCAGGCTGGCAGCTTCTGCTCTCTGCCTCTTGCGATAATTCCTCTTAGTCCAGATGCTATGGTGATGTAAGAAGGCTCAGGCACACTGAGGTTCCATATGTTGGTGCTCAGGTCACGAGCCCATGGCGAGCTCCCAATAGAACGAGCATCAACTGCCAGAACCACAACCTTGAATTAAGGCCACTGCAATCCACTCCCCCCGCCCCCCCCACACACAAAAATATTTCCACAAGGACATTTGCCCAACAACTGTCTATTTAATCTTAGACTGCAGCCACCTTGTTATTAATTCGAGTAGCCAAAGATTATTGTTTCAAAATATTTTATGTAATCCTTCTCATTTTGCCTTTAAAAATTTCCCCTGGCCTTAATCTCTTTGAAAAAGCACATAATTTACTTCTATGGCACACATCATCCCATTGCAATGCTCTGCTATCCCATATAAACTTCTTCTTTAGAGAATCTTTCTCCTATGCCATTTGGGTTAACACCACAAAGCTATGGAATATAATACACACTAATGTTTCAAGCCACTGGGCTTTGGGTTGTTTTGCTATGAAGCAATAGGCAACTGGAACAGATGTTAACAGGAATGATATGTATATCTCTGACTAACAGAATCCTAGCTTGGGAGGATGCTAATTCTTATGTGACCCAGAATGAAGTGGCTTATCAAGTATGGGCTCCTCCATCTTCATCTATAAAAATGGCATAACCACCTACATTTGTTTTCTCTGCTGCTATAACAAACTGCCACAAACTTAGTGGCTTAATAGGAATGTATTATAATTCTGGAAGTCAAAAAGTCTGAAATGGATTTCACTGGGGTCAAAAAAAAAAAAGGTGTTTTATTGAAGACTGTGTTCCTTTCTGGAGTGAGAATCAGTTTCCTTGCCTCATCCAGTTTTTAGAAGCCTCCTACATTCCTTGGCTCACACACCCTTTTTTCCATCTTCAAAGCCAGCAGTGGTTAGCTGGGCTCTCCTCACACTCATCATCCTGACCTCCTCACCTGCCTCCCACTCCTACTTCAAAGGACCCATTACATGAGGCCCATCTAGATGATAACTCAGAATAATCTCATTTTAATATTTGCTGATTTTTAACCTTAATTCCATCTGAATTCCCCTTTGCTAAATAACCTAAATATTCATAGGTTCCAGGGCTTATGTGGACATCTCTGGGGCTGGGGAGATACCTATCACAACATCCTACCTCTTTCTCTCAAACTACAGTAACCTGGGAAGATAAATGAACTAGGAAATGTGTACAGTAATCATAACTACCATTTTATTCATTCTACAAAAATTATTGAGCACCTATTATGTGTCAGGCAGTATGTTAGATAGTAGAGGGATATGTTGGTTAAAAATAATTTTTAAAAATATTTTCTTGTATTGGTCAATGGACCTTAATTTTATTTATTTACTTATTTATATGTGGTGCTGAGAATCAAACCCAATGCCTCACACATGCCAGGCAAACACTCTACCACTGAGCCACACCCTTAGCCCTGGTAAACAAATTTGATAAGATCTATGATATTTCATCCCAATGGAGGTAAACAATCAATTGGTCCAGATTGGTAGACTGGAAGATCAGTAAATCAGGAGATTTAGAATAAATCTATTTAATAGATTCTGGATATTTATTTAAGAATAATAGTTATAAATGCTATAATGAGAAGTGAGGGAACATGACTGGATGGCTGTTTTCCAGTGAGTGACCAAGAAAACTTTCCTGGATAAGGGGACACTTCAATCAGAATGGTCAGAAGTGCCCCCACTGGGAAGATCCAAGGCTACCTAAAGCAGGAACAAACTTTTCAAGAACTCAAAGCCAGATTCCTACAGCCGGAGGAGCTATGGGAATCTGCAGCATGCTACCTGTGAGACACTACAGACATGTGTAGGACCCACAGATTTTTTAAGAGGTAAAGGAATATGTGAAACCTAAAATTATATGTATTAGTTCCAAGATACCAAAAGAAAACCATGAAATTGAAGTGAATAAATATTTAAGCAACATCTTCATACTTTATTGATTGTTAAATGTAATATTCATAAAATATTCATTGCATTTGTAAACAATTTTATAGGTTACATTTTTTCACCTTCTTCAATTTCCAATTATACACAGAATTTTAAGAAACCAGAGTCGATCATAAATTGGGTGCTTATTGTAGCCAAGTAATTGTAAAAGCCAAAAATAAAAAAGCCCTTTAGATAACTAACAGCAAAACAAAAATTATTTAAAGTGGAATGAGGGGGGCACTTAAATATATTTGATAAGATGTGGGGTAGGGCCTTTAGAAATCTGCATTCTTAGGGTCTACAAAAGTCCTAAGTGAACACCCAGACAGTTAGCTAGGCCCTGGGAAACCCCTCCATTTAGCACAAATGGAGGAAGCCTGCTATCAACCAAATCCATAATCTTACTCCAATTACCTCCTCAGAAATGACTCCACTATGTATTCTCTCTCCTTAGTGATAGGGAGAGGGCAAGAGAACACAAAAGCAATCTCTTGGAAACCAAGACAAATCAGTGCCACCAAGTGAAATATTTCCAAGATCAAACACATCAATCACCTACAGAAATGAAAGCAAAACAAGTCCAACACATCTGTGATAACATTTGTACAAGCTGCTGGCTTTTTTGCGTCACACTGCTTGTTTCCCTGGGATTTTCTCTGGGATGGCAAAAATGGATCTAGGCAGTGGTGGTGGTAGGTTACTGACCTGGGAAATGTGCTAATGAACTTAGGCAGAAACTCTAGAAGAAACTGCATTAGCCAGCTTTCCATTACTAAAATTAAGTACTCGAGGCAAGCCAAATTATAAGGAAAAAAAGATGTATTCAGCTCAAAATTTTTGAGGCTAGATGTCGTGGCTTCATCATATCATGGCAAGAGTATGTGTTTATCTCAGTCTACATGGTCTCTCTCTCTCTTCTTATAGAGCTATTAGGATACAAACATTACCAGAATACCATCACGCCAGTGAGCTAAGTGATTATCACTTACCAAAGACCACATCTGTAAACATTATAGTTAGATTAAATTTCCACCCACCTTAATACCATTAACATAAGACTTTGGCAATTAAATTTCTGCATGAGCTTGGGGGCTAATGAGGGATGGGGTGGTAAATCATATTCAAACCACAGCACTAGTAAAAGCTGAGAATGGACTTCTGACAGTTTCTATCTGCCTAGAGGCTACTAACTAAGCACCCGAGGCCACAGCTATAAGGATGTGGACAATGGAGATGATGAAGTCTTAGTCCAGTGGGGAGAATGTTTGCCCATGCATGTGAAAATCATTACAAAACAAAATATCTATGAGAGCAAAATAATTAAGCAAAATAATTAAATATGAGAGCAGGTACAGAACAATGGAGCAAGCCCAAGAGAGTTTTACTAAGCAGAGAGGCCTTCCCCAGGGACTTGCAGGTGGTTACAGATTGGGGATAGGGGCAGGAGACAGGGGTATTGTGTAACAACTAAACAACAACACAGCTCTTCACATGCTGAATATTCCATGACTCCAGAAATTCTTGATGCTGTGTTTGTTTATTGTGTCAGTAACCTTTCAACGTCAGTAAAAAGCAATTTACTATCTTCATTTTCTATTCTCTCTTACAATCCTTAACCATTTAAATATAAATCTACTGTTATTGTATTAATACTTACTATATACCATATATTGTTATTTTAATTTTATTTATTATATATATTTTTATATGAAATATATTTTCAGTATTTATAATTATAATTTTAATGGCTACATAATTAAAAAAAAATAGATATAACTGGAGTTGTAGCTCAGAGGTAGAGTGCTTGCCTAGGACATGTGAGGCTCTGGGTTCAATTCTCAGCACCACATATAAATAAGTAAATAAAGTAAAGGTCTATCAACAAGTTAAAAAAAAAGATATACCAATTTTTTATTCCAGCCTTCTCCTACCACTCATTGCATATATAGGTTGTATCTAATTCTTTGGCTACTGATAACAAATCCATCATCTATCTTAATATATGTAGATAGATTATTCCCTTAAAATAATTTCCCATACATAAATAAAAATAAAATGTCAAAATGCTTTTCAAAAGGGTTGTATGAAAGTATACTCTACCAGCAGACTGTAAGGGAATAAAACATTACCTATTTGGGACTTTATTCTTATTCTAGTGTTTAACTTGTACCTTTTTGAAAAGAAATTGTTTACACATTATGCTGATATAAAGATCCTAAGATATCAGCAATTAAAATAATAACAACAACCAGGCGTGGTGGCATATACCTGTAATCCCGGTGAACTGGAAGGCTGAAGCAGAAAGATTGCAAGTTTGAAGCCAGCAATTTATCGAGACCCTATCTCAAAATTAAATATACAAAGGGCTGGGGATGTAACTCAGTGGTAGAGTATTGCTGGGTTCGATCCCCAGTACCAAAAGCAAATAAATAAATAAATAAATAAAACAAGATACAGAACAGTATATATAGTATATGGTGTGCTACCATTCATGTCATATCAGTGTATGTATGAGTATGCATTTATTTAGTCAAGTCACACTTTCCACATGAATGCATAGAAAATTCCTGGAAGACTGAGTAAACTAGTGTTGATTTTAGTTTCAGAGAATGAAACTGACCTGTGAGGTTGGAGTAAGATACTTTTTATCATACACCATTTGGTTCTATCCAAGTTTTTTGTCATGAGTTATTTTCATCATAATTTAATACTAATTAGGAAAAAAAAACAGAAAAAGAAAATAAACTATCTGAGGTCAAGGCCACCGCTGTGGTTAAAAGTGAAGGCACTGGAGTCAGAATGGGTTCGAATCCTTGTATTGCCATTGACTAGTTGTCTGATCTTGGCTGAGTTCCTGTTGTGGTTTAGATATAAGGTGTCCTCCAAAAGCTCATGGGTGAGACAATGCAACAAAGTTTAGAGGGAAATGACTGGGTTAAGAGAACCTTAACCTGATCAGTGCATTAATCTACTAATAGGGATTAACTGAGTGGCTGGTAGGGTGTGGCTGGAGGAAATAGGTCACTGGGTGTGTACCCTTGGGGTTTATATTTTGTCTATGGTGAGGGGAGTGGTGTCTCTGCTTCCTGGTAGCCATGTCCTGAGCTGCTTTCTTCCACCACACTCTCCTGCCATGATGTTCTGCCTCACCTTGGACCCATCCATCAATGGAGCAATGGAGCCATCCATCAATGGACTGAGACCTCTGAAACTATGAGCAAAATAAAGTTTTTCTCCTTTAAAATTGTTCTTTTGGTCACAGTAGGAAAAAAAAAAACCTGACTAACACAGTTCATTAGCTTTTCAAATTATAGCTATCTGTTCTTTTAAAAAGTGAAGATAATAGTCTTGAGAGTTTCAAAGGCTCTTGCAGCATCACTAATACAAAAGTACTCTGTGTTTAGAAGGTGGCACCATCCTGCCTTCTTCAGGCCCCAGGCTTGAGTTGATCACTTGAGTTTTCACACAATCAACTTCTATTTTTTTTTTTTTTTTAACATCTACAGTGTATGAAACAGGAATGTGTTAGTTGCTATGGAGAAAACAAAGTAGAGTAAAAGTGCCTGTCTTTAAGATGTGACAAGTACTTGCTCCTTTTGTCCAGTTTTCATTTATTCCTTCCCCAGATGAATGGGAGGAATGGCATTGCTTTTGAGGAGATGTGAATGGAGAATGTCAGAGGTAAATCATTCTTACCCAAAACAAAACATAATATAAACATTAATTCTACAAGAACCCAGTGAGTGATCAATGCGGGGCCAGAGTTACCAAAGAACCATCTAAGTCCCCCACCCACTGTGTAAGTGAATGGAGCCCAAGGCACATACTTTATTTGGAATGTTGATATCACTTCCTGCTGCCAGTAGCACTTTGCTGCATTCTTCATGACCTCCTTCAACTGCCAAAAAGAATGGTGTTTCTCCATTCTGACAAAAGAGAAAATAAGTTAAAAATTAAATGACCCTTGCAGTGGAATGAAATCACTTTGAGAAACAGTGTGCTTTCTCTATACCTTTTGTACTTTTTTTTTTTTTCACAATGAGTTACGTTCTTTCTTTTTTTAAATTTTTTTATTAGTTGCTCAAAACATTAAAATGATCTTGACATATCATACATTTGATTCAAATGGGGTACGTAATCTTAATCTTATTTTTCCACGTGTACAGATTGCAGGATCACATTGGTTGTACTTTATTTTTTAAAATGGATATCATTCAGCATCTATGTGCCAACATATACTGCCAAGATGATATGCTTTGGCACAGCCAAATCATACAACAATCTTGTGAGGTCAGGGTTAATATTATCTTCATTTTACAGATCAGAAAACTAAACCTCAGATTAAAACTGACAAAGCCAGGACATGAGTCCAGTGTTTGACTTCAAAGCTGGCACTGTCTACTCTATTTAAGACTTTTCATCCACCATTCATAATTAACCTCTACTAACCTTTCTATCAAACACTTATTAGGCTATATGAATTGGGATTGGAAAGATGGATTGGACACAGATCCTGCCCACAAGAAAGTAACAGACTATTAAGAAAGATAATTTTGGGAACAAGGAATTATAATGCAGTATGAAACATACAAAATTAGAAGTACAATTGCACCAAGTAACAGCTTGAATCTTTACAAATGATTTCAAATGTTTCATGTTGTTTAAAAAGCAATATTAGTCTTTTAAAAAGTGATTCAGTACTTCAGTTTTCTGAAACTTATGGTAAATGAAAGTGGAAAAAAGTTGAGAGTTTTGTTTAGACCAAAACATAAAGGAAAAAGAAATAATTGGTCTCACGTAATAGCTGCTTGGATATGTCCCCTTCCTCATGCAAACTCTTTCCTAAAATCATGAAAGAAATGCAGAATTCCTTCCCCACTTTTTAACCATTTACCCCTAAAACATTATCCTACTTAACAAGTGCATTTGGTAAGTCCATAGGTTGTACTTGTAGCTGATTAGGAGTAAGCAATCATGTTAACAGAGAGGCAGGAGCACAGAACCAGTGCTCTGATCTGACAAAGTGGGAATACTGCACCACAGTGCCTAAGGCCTGCAATCTACCTAAAAAGGAATCACTCTGCATAATCTGTCTTCTCATTTTTCCAGGAAAAAAGATGCCAAAAGGCAAATTCCAAAGGGAAAAATATTTGCAAAAAAAAAAAAAAAGGAAAAATGAATATATGATTACATGTCCACTGTAATTCTACATCATGTACAACCAGAAGAATGAGAAGGTATGCTCCATTGACATATGATATATCCAAAATGCATTGTACTGTCATGTATACTAATTAGAACAGATAAAAATAAGGAAAATAAGGAATTCACCACTTTGATATATCAAGAGCCTAGTCAATGTTCATATTTTTGACCCAAAAATCAACCTCTAAGAACATACCCAAAGGAAAGAGTAAGAAATTCAAACCAATGTTTATATACAAAGAGTTTCTTGACAATATAAAAAAGACTGAAATAAACTAAATGTCCAAGAGCCAAAGCTTACTTAAATGAATTCTGGGCATATGCTAAAAACATATTTGTGTTTAAACATATATGTGTTATACACACACACACACACAACACATGCAAATACATACATACACATCACATATATTCTTTTAAAAATGTATATTTTAAATATATACACACACATAACACAAAGAAAACTGAAAGGGCAAAATGATGAATATAAGTTGAATATAAGATAATGTAATATAATACAAGATGAATATAAGATAATTCTTTAGTGTGAAAAAATATAAAACTACTATTTATGTTTACTTTTTTCTCAAATTAAAAAAAGTAGAAATATTTTAGCATCACATTTTACAGGCTGTGGCACTAATATCTTTGTCTTCCTCCAATTCCATTCTTGAAGCTGTTCCTCTGACTCTTCCCCATTTAAGTCCTGAGTCCAGCTGGAATGAGTATTTCCACATACCTCATTGGTCTCATTGACTTCCTGCCACTGAGTTAGCAGCACCTGAACTGCAGGACTGTGGCCATGCATTGCAGCCAGATGCAAGGCCGTGTTTCCTTCCTGCAACAGAGACACAATGCAGGTAGAATCTCCTGTGCCAAGGAGCACACCCCTCCAATTGTCAGGGCTGCAGGGCTGCAGTGGGACTTTTAGAAGCTTTCTTTTTGGTTAAAGCCACAGACCAGAATGTGGGCCACATTATCTACAGTTTTTTTAAGATTTGTGTATTTTTAAGTTTTAAATGAAGACATAGCTAAGTGGACCAGTAAGGAAAAAAAATCCATTGATGCTCCTTGTTCACCTTTCTTATCAGTTTGCTAGCAAAATGTGGGAGAATAAAAGTAATTCCACATAATCCATGTGAGGGTGAACTAGTTAAAGATTTCTCAGAGGTAATTTTAGTAACATATATCATATCATATGTTAGAAAATAATTTTATTTTCTTAATTTTATTTTTTATTTTCTACTTTTTTGGTACCAGGGATTGAATTCAAGGGCTCTTAATTACTGAACGATATCCCCAGCCTTTTTATTTTTTATTTTGAGACAGGGTCTCACTAGGTTGCTTACAGCCTCGCTAAGTTACTGAGGCTGGCTTTGAACCTGCTATCCTCCTTCCTCAGTCTCCTGGGAGTACAGGTGTGCATTACCACAGCCTGCTTCAAAAGAATTTTAGAAATGTAGAACCCTTTACCCACAATTCCACAATATAGGAATTTCTCTTAAGAAAATCATCAAAGATGTTCATATAGGGCTGGGATGTGGCTCAGTGGCAAAGTGTTTGCCTTGCATATGTAAGGCACTGGGTTCGATCCTCAGCACCACATAAAAATAAATAAACAAAGTAAATATATTGTGTCCATCTATAACTAAAAAAAAATTTAAAGATGTTGATATAGATACAGATATCTACCCTGGTGTTTTTCCCTTCCCAATTATGTGAGATTTGAGTCCACAGCAGACCTCAGGGGAGGAGGGGAGAGGGTTGCAGTTGACAGTGGGAAAGTATCCACATAGTCAACTGAATTCAAAGCATTTATGGAACAAAACTGCCAATCTGGGTAATCCACAGCAAAACTGAATGGATTTCACCTGGATGGTTCAAATATCCAAATCTGTTGTAGGCCAAAATGCCATCACCAAATCTACACACCAATTGTTACTACCCTTTCAGCAAAGAAATCAAAATCCAGCTCACCTTGTCCTTTTCCAAAGTATGCAGATTGAGAAAGATGAGTTTTTCTATCATTTCAACGTGGCCTCTCTCGGCTGCCAAAAGAAATGGTTTCCTTCCTCTCTGAAAATAAATCACAAACTCTAGCATTTATTACACACTTGACAACATTTTAAGGGTAACGAGGTGGTCAGCAAGGTCCTTCTGGCCATAGCATTTCAAACTACTTAGGGGAGGGAGTTGACAAGATTTCTGACCCCAAATCAGATTCAATTTTGGGCTGTCACTCAAAACATGGACTCAGTTTCATGGTAACAAAGAGAAGCACTGTTCAAAAGAGACCCTCCCAGGCTGAAAGTTTTCTCTGATATGCGGATGCTAATTCACATTGGGGATGGCTAGGGAAGAAAAGAGTTACTTTAGATTAGGTAGAAGGGACTGAAAGGAGGGGAGGGGTTTGGGGGTAGGAAGGATAGTAGAATGAATCAGACATTATTACCCTATGTACATATATAACTATATGACTAGTGGGATTCTACATCATGTATAACCAGAAGAATGAGAAAATACTCCATTATATATAATGTATCAAAATGCATTCTACTGTCATACATAACTAATTAAAACAAATTTTTAAAAATTTTAGAAATAAGAATAAGAGAATAAAATAAAAGAAGAAGAATAGAGCCTCCCAAGCATCAGAGGAGGTGCTTCCTCACAGCCAGAAGACAAGATTCCATTTTAAATATAGCAAAATGATAACGGTCACATGCCACATCAGGCCAGTCAATCAGAGTCATCCGTGGGTTTCTTTCTTTCTTTCTTTCTTTCTTTCTTTCTTTCTTTCTTTCTTTCTTATTTCTTTTTCTGGACACATATTATTTTTACTTTGGTGTCATCAGCTAAGCTATCAGTAACTAGCACAGTGCAAAGCAAACTGAAAAGTAGAAAGAGATTAAGAGCCCTGTTGATGGGGCTGGGGATGTGGCTCAAGCGGTAGCGTGCTTGCCTGGCATGCGTGTGGCCCAGGTTCGATCCTCAGCACCACATACAAACTAAGATGTTGTGTCTGCCGATAACTAAGAAAAAAAATAAATATTAAAATTCTCTCTCTCTTTAAAAAAAAAAAAGCGCCCTGATGATATCATTTGAGTTCCTGGATTCAGGTATACTTGAGCCATTCATATGACTGCTTTGACTGAAACAATAAAGCCTTTTTTTTTTCTCCTTAAAATAGTTTGGGTTGGGTTTCTGTCATGTCACTGAAGGGCTTCCTTAAAGCAACTTCCCTACGTCACAGAACTATGAGAGTAATTTAAATGTGCACCAGGGTATCATTTTAGGTTCATCTAAATACTTCAGACCCAAGCAATTATCACAGGCCACATTTGGCAGCAAACTGCTCAGAAAATGTAGAACAGAAGCTGCAGCTTATTGATGTCAGCAGTGCCTCTTCATATCATGGTCCACACAGCTGTCCAGGAGTTATTGTCTTTGGCCCTTCAGGTGACAGCTTAGTTGCAAAGTGACTTAGTTGTAAAAGCCACATTGCATGGGTGTGGGAGCCACCTCAGCTTAGAAGGCCCACAGGAACAAATGTTTCTTATAACCATCCCTTGGGTGCACCTTCCAGGGTCCCCATAAGACATGTTGCTGGTTACAACAATCACTATATACAAGAAAAATCCAGTCTGGCTTCCTTGGGTACTTAAAATTCATCTTTAGCTCCTCCCAGTCCAGATATAATGCACTAATTAGGAGTCCTTTTATCAGAAGCAATGTTGCTAAGTAAGGTAGTTAATCTTCTATCTTTACATACTTTGCAAGGACACAAGCCAGAAAGTTAACCAAAGTTTAAATTTGCATGCAGCAGGTGAAGCGTTTTTGTTAGTTCTTTACTTACAGAGACCATAAACACTGTGAGCGTGCTGTGTGTGCCCTTTTTAGCATGTATGCCCTGCGTGGACATTTATTGCTTTTGCCCTTATTTCTTCTAGCAATAGCACTTTTGTTTTCCTCTGGAGAACTCCCCACAAAACACACACACACGCACACACACACACGCACGCACACATGCGCCATTTGGTGCAATTAGTGCTGCCAACCACCAGGTCTTACCTGTCTGCCTCCTGTCCCATGAGGTGATCACATAATCCATGTTGATCATGTATCCACAGTGATTGTTTCAGTATGAAGCATATGATTCAAACAGGGCCAAACAATTATTTCTGAGATTTGTGTGTCAACATTTGATGAGAGAGGATTTTTCTTTCTTACTGATAAAATCCACAAGGATATAAACCTGAGGCTGCTAATAGCCACCTTTCCCATTGTGTGAAGAGTATATCTATGAATAATGACAATACATAGCCAACCAAAGTCTAGGAGAGAAGAAAAACTGGATCCAGTCAAGCCTGAAACCATTCAGATACACCCTCAAACACTTTAGTTAGGAGTTAATAAATTACCTGTATTTCTTAATCTAGAATAAGATGGAGTTTTGTTGCTTGTAACAGAAAGGATTCTAATACATCTTTATTGGTTTGGGGATAGAATTAGTCTACTTTTCATTGCTATAATGAAATTCCAAACGCTGGATATGTTATAAAGAAAAGTTAATTTTGGTTCATGGTTCTAAAAGTGCAAGGTCTAGGGGCCTCATGTGGTAATGGCCTTCCTGCTGACAGAGTCCTGAGGCAGTGCATAGGGTCCTATGGCAAAAGATAGGAAATGTGTGTCTCCCTCTATGCAAAAAACCACGAGGACTCAATCATGGAGATTCCATGCAATGACCTTATCTAGTCTTAATAACTTCACAGAGGCTCCCCCCTCTAAACATCAGTTAGATTAAGTTTTCACCCTTTTAATACCATTAGCATTTTACTCTGAGGATCATATTCCTGAATGAGTTGGGGGGTTGGTAAATCATAACCCACTGGAAGGATCAGAGATCTGTTCAACTTTAAAATAACATTTCTCTTTTACCTTGGTTGCTACAAAGCTTTGTATCTTTACATAGCTAAATAAAGAGATAGTATCCACTCCCAAAGTCTAAGACATGGGAGGTTCTGAGAAGACTGCAGTTACTACAGATGAAGCATCTTCCTCTCCAAGAAAATAGCAATGACTTTGAACTTTTAGTGCCTTTTAAAAGTGTAATCATCAGGGACTGGGGTTGTGGCTCAATGGTAGAGTGCACACCTAGTGTAGGTGAGGCACTGGGTTCAATCCTCAGCACCACACTGAAAAATAAATAAATAAAAATAAAGGCCTTGTGTCTACCTACAACTAAGAAAAAATTTTTAAATGTAATCATCAAGAAAAAAATTGTAAAAACCAAAATATACAAAATAAGAATGTTTACTATCTTGTAAGTACATCAAAAGGTAACATAGCACTGGGGATATAGATCAGTTGGTAGAGTGCTTGTCTTGCATATACAAGGCTCTGGGTTCAATCCTCAGCACCAAAAAAAAAAAAAAAAAGTAGCATAAATTAAGATGAGGTGATAGTGAAATGATATAAATCTTTTCTCCCAACTAGTACATGTTATTAGGTAAAATAACAACAGGAATTTCAAAGACTTATGCATTTTTCAAAAAAAAAATAGTTTCTTCTTTTTAGGAAGAAATTGACACAGGCTATGCTGTATTGAAACATACCTCTGTCTTAGAACAAGTCACCTCAAGGTAACTCTGACTCAGCCTGACCTAAACCCCCATCAATACTCAGTTGTCAAGAAAAGAAATCCCAAACACTCCATCTTTATGAGAAAAGAAATTGTTATCTAGGACTGAAAACACCTTAAAGGCCCTTCCCTAATCCCCCCTTCATCACTTTCCTATGTACACAGGCTGTAAATGGGGTCTCAGTCTCCACTCCGCCCTGTGTAGCTGCTGAGCCACCTCTCCTCTCTCTCTATTTCCTTCTTTCAGTTCTTAAACATTTTGTTTGAGTAGGGCTGTCTCCTAGGACTTCCTTCATTTGGAAGGCAGACTCTTCAACCAGGAAGATAAAAGAGTGGGATGGAGGCTCGGGCTTCAGGCTGTAACAGTGGTTCACTTGATGCTTTGAATATAACCCTTGCTGCACTGGCACTGCAACTGATTTTGAAAAAGGACATGTTTCTTTCTTCCTCTTTCTCTGATCCTCCCTAATCTCAGGGGAAACAGAATTACCTTTCTTCTCCATTTTAGGCAGATTTATCTGTCCTTCAGTAGACATCAACATAGGAATGAAGTAATCCAGATTTGGAGGATGGTACCAGAAGATCTCAGAAGTGACTATACCCAAATTAACAAGTGAATTACAACTCCAACAGAGAACACACGGAATGTAGCCTTTGAGACACTTCTTTAATAGCTCCCTATTCCAGAGGCAGAATCACAGCCTCTGGGACAGGAATCCCCTGTGTTTCTCCTTTGCTAGCAAAACAATAAAGCTTCTTTTTCCTTTTCCTCAAAGCTATGCATGTCCTCATTATTGGATTGTCATCGGGGACAGGACCAAGCTTTCGGCAACAAGGCCTGGGACAGATCACCATGCCTCCCTGGCTCAGGATCCTGATTCCATTTCCCAATTAAAATAAGGAGGATCCAGGATTCTTATTCCTGTTTTCATTAACTCAATGTGTATTTAATGTTTTAAATCATTGCACTTAATTTTTTTTTTGCTTGTGAACAAATCTTAGGGGCTGAAATTATTTAATAAAAAAATTTTAGCTCTAAATTTAGGGCCAGGGTTATCTAATTCAGCAAAAAATTGCAAACAGACACCAAAGTCCCACCAATATTGTTTATCATAGGCATCCTTGAGATGTCACCCAGGGAAACCCAGCACAATAGTTCCACAATTTCTCCTGTACACATCCACATCCCATAACATTTTTTATTACTTGGGATGATGAATTTAAAACAATCCCAGCATAAGTGGAAACCTGAATAACTAAAGATTTCAGTGGGGAAAGAATATGTGGAATGAGGTCAAAAATACTGAGAGCTACAATCAACCTGAAGCTGTGGCACTGACGTGGGCATGGAATATGACACAGGATGATTCTCCATACACACCACAGATTATATGTTTAGCTAACTGTTACCTCCGGTCTATATAGTTGGGCCTTT